CCGTCGTGGTTCACGTAAGCCACTATGGGCTACCCTTTGACCCATGGGAAGCAAAGTTCAGTTGACGAAAAATACTGTTCCCCTTTTTTGACAGAAAGTTCTTCTAACTTTCTTTTCTTTTAGTAGAAAGTTCTTCTAACTTTCTTATTTCCCTTTGCTTTTTGAATTCGTCATAGATTATTTGAGTGTAATCTTAGAATGAGAGGTACCGTGCGGCGTTTAGAATAAGTTAAGCTTGCGTGTATGGGATCCCATGCGATTAGTGTTAAGTTAATGTATGTGTGTGTGTGATACAAGTTCTTTACTGGATTGTGGTAAAGAACTTGTATATGCGAGCCTATGAGCTAAGTAGAGTCAGAACTCATTTATCCTTCTGATAAATGAGGTTGCATTTGGAGGGAGGAAGGGATTTGGAGTTAGGGTGGGTCGCTATCGTAGCCACCTCCACGTGGTGTGACCTGGTAATTGGTATAGTTCTCTGGAGGCTTTAAAAAATCTTCAGAGAACTATACCGAGCTAAGAGCTACGATTAGAATTTAATTTAGAATTAGAATGTAGAATTTAAGAGCTACGATTGTAATTTTACTTATAATATATGTATATATAGTTGTATAGGTATATACAGTCATATATATAACTAACCTAACCCAGTCTAATGTAATCTAACCCAACCTATACATTCATAGTTTACAATGCAATTATAAGAATTTTTGAAAAATTATGTGGGATCATTAAGGTGCCCTCATCAATCATCACTGCGTGTACCGGCTAGGTACGGCATTGGCAGCAAGCTGTGACGTCAGCTGACGCATGCGCATAAAGCTCTCGCGTGAGTTAAAATCTCACGACTGCCCAACACTGCTGTATATATCCTTATCAATTCATATGAATGTACAATATTGATGTTGTCGCACGTGTTTTTAGTTTACATCTAACGTGAATCAAAATTGACAATTATTTTTCTGTATCTTTGACCAACTATAGTCTTATTTAATAGATCTTTGCATCTATTCACATTTATTATATTAATATTGACTGATATTGAAAATTTCATTTAAGCTTTTGTGACATTATTGATCAATTCTAACCTAACAATTTGTTTTTATTTGATATTTACAAATACAGTTGCTAACTAATGGCTTGTGCGGATTTCTAATGTTGAATATCTGTTTCTTTTTAAATAAAAAATTTATCAAATAAAAATTTGTACATTCCTTTATGATTAAGACTTCTTTCACTCGTTTTATTTCTCATTCACGAAATATGAGTATTTTTATTCAATGTTTAAATCCTTTAACCGGTATTATTACGTGGGAAGAAAAGGATGAAAATTATGATTATCACCAAGAAGTTGCAAGATCAGCATTTGCTGATATGTTACATGATCATGAAAGAGTTAGTACCTCAATTTGTTTTTTAATGTATATAGCTGAGTAGCTCCTTCAGTACCATAATGTTTGTTTTTGAATTTAGAACCAAAAATATTATGCAGCTCTCAAAACTGCAATTGAAAGAAAGCATCAATCAGGAGAAGAAGCTAACGTGCTTGACATAGGAACAGGTACTGGTTTATTATCAATGATGGCTGCTAAATGCGGAGCAGATAGTATAACAGCATGTGAGGTAAATAATTACATTTTTATTACGAATTATTGTAATTATAGATGTAATTTAGAAAATTACATGTTTACCAGTTGGAAAACTTCAAGGTTATTCTTTAGGCTTTCACACCAGTGGCTAAATGTGCAATAAGAATAATACAAGAAAATGGATTTGATGATAAAATTAAATTAATACATAAACGTTCGACAAAAATGACTGTTGGGAAAAATGGAGATATGATCAAGAGAGCAAATATTTTAGTTACTGAAGTATTTGATACTGAACTTATTGGAGAAGGAGCGATTTCCACATTTCATCATGCGCTTGAAAATCTTCTTGAAGTACTCATATTATGGTTTTCATATATAATTTTATACACTGATTGTTTAATACGCATTTTCTATGGTATTAGGAAAATAGTATAGTGATACCACATACTGCTACAATTTGGGCACAAGTTGTTGAGAGTTCTACTGTATGTGCATGGAATACAGTACATCCAATTCAATATAAAAATAAATGTTTGTTAAATATACCGCAATCTGTCAAATGTTGTTCAGGAGCAGCTGCAGTACATGATATACAATTAACCCAATTTCCTCATACTGCATTTAAACCTTTATTACCAGCCCAACCTATATTTAGGTAAATGTATGTTACAATTTGGTTGATTACGCATTTAAAAACGTTCTAAATTTTATTAAATATTAAATAAACATTTCAGATTTAATTTCTCTGGTAAAACACCTTTACTTTATGATGATAAAGTATGCTTGCATGTGAAACCAATTGCAAATGGTACAGCACATGCAATTTTTATGTGGTGGGATTTAAATATGGATATTGATAATAAGGTGATTATAAAATATGAAATGGTGTAACATTATTATTACACACTGTTCTTACTTAGGTTTTATTAAGCTGTGCACCTGCATGGGAGCATCCTGATGCAAAGAAGTTACAAGATGAAGGTTTCAGTTTAACAGAGATAGCAGATTTAATACCATGGAGAGATCATTGGATGCAAGCTATTTACTATTTACCTGTAGAGACTCCAGTTACTACTAATAATGAAGTTAGCCTGATTGGCTACCATGACGAATATTCATTATGGTTTCAACTTATAAATAAATCAGTGTATGTTAGTTTACACATTTAATTTATATAATTTTTTCTATTCTGCAACTGATAATATAATTACTTATTTGCAGAAATGAAATACCAAATTGTGAAAGACCTATTTGCAGTTGTAGTATTCATGTTGCTTACTGCAGGACACGTATAGGGCAATTGAATGATCAAAAACGAAATGATAAATATATTAAAGCCTTAGAAAAGAAAATTACATCAGATACAGTTTGTTTATGTCTTTCAGACGGTAGCTTATTAGGTTTAGCAGCAATTAAATTGGGTGCAAAAAAGATATTCATTTTAGAGACAAACTTCTTATCTAGGAAAAGTATGGAGACATTTATTCAAGCTAACGGTCTTACAGAAAAAGTTGAGATTATTCGATCAATAAATGATTTACCGTCAGAAAATACGATAAATTTAATTTTTGGTGAACCGTATTTTATTACGTCAATTGTACCATGGGAAAACCTTTATTTCTGGTATCTTATTTCAAGATATTCTTCTAACATACAAAGGATTCCGATTGGCATGACGTTAATGGGTGTTGTAGTTGAATTTAAAGATTTACATAAAATACGAGCACCGCTTGGAATTTGTGAAGACTTTGATTTATCTAGCTTTGATAAACTTATACAGGTGAGTCAGAATGTACTAAAAATAAGAAAAATATGAACAATAATATATTACAGATGTCAAGTGATAAAAGTGACAGTCCAATAGAAGCTCAACCATTGTGGGAATATCCTGCTAAAGCATTAAGTTTGCCTTTTGTCATTAAAGAATTTGATTTGACAAACAGTGTCACTGAATACGAAAATATAAATATTTCAAACACTGTGCCTATTTTAGAGTAAGATTTTATTAAATTCTTATTAATAGTTATTTAAAATTAGCAGTTCGTGCTTTATAATATTATTCTACTAACTTAGGAATGGGATGTGTAATGGCGTAGCGTTATGGGTCAATTGGCATTTGGATTCCGAGATTACAGTATCGACTGGACCTACTGCGGAAATACAACCTGGTAAACGGATATCGTGGGATCCGTTTACAAGGCAAGGTGTACATTTATTTAGAGACATAACAAATGTTACGCAACAGAATATTCTTTTATCATTATTTAGTTTTATACCACAACATGGAAATGTTAAATTTGATTTTCAAATATTGTCAAAGAATGTAAAATAATGTATTGTTTATAAAAATATACTTCTAAATAAAAAGTTTTAATTATTTACATTATTTATCTTTAAATTATTCAATAAAAAATATTATGTAGCTTCTTCTGGTAACATACGTAATTGTTTAGCTAATCTTCTTCCTATGAGCTTTGGATAAGCTTTCTGTTTTATAAGAAATTCTTTGCTTTGATGAGTTACTGCACCATTTTCCAACTGAAATCTGAGAATTCCATAATTATTAAACCTATTCTTCCGTATTTTAAAATTTTAATAACTTACCTGCAAAGATAGTGCAGAGGCCCAAGCATTTTATCTTTTAATTCTGGATCATTTTCTAAAATGGAAAGTGCAAATGCACCCGTTTCAAGCGTAGACAAGCATCCTTCAGTTGGTTGCGTTCTAATAACATATTCACTTGTTGGAACTCCAACTAATTTACAAGCTCGTAAAATACATAATGCTGGACTCGAATGATATATGGCCTGACAAATACAGCTGCCTATTAATTTCAAGCTAATAGTTACATAAATTATTATATAGTACCTTTGCTTGTGGCCAAGTTCCGTCTAATAAAACAAGATTATATGGTTTTTGTCCATTAACACCAACAGGAGTTAGTTCATCAAGTGCAACAGCACCTGGAGATGGATATAATAATACAGTATTTTTATCATTTAAAATTTCGGCTAAACCTTCATGCTTTGAAAGTGGAAATTTTTTCCCTCTGAAATATGTCTGTTGTAAAATTGATAGCAATTTCAGAATACTAAATTTTGATATTTTAAATTACCTAAAAATCAAGCACTTCCCAGGCTCCAAACCTAATGCAAGCATAGGCGCAGTTCGCAAACATCGTTTCACTTCAGCTGGATGCTGTAAAATAATAATTCTTGATGCAGGACAGACAGGTCGTTTCGGTAATCCTGTACACCAACATACAGCTACTGGTCTTCTATAAAATTATGATATCAATTTACTTAATTGTATATTTTACTTAAAAATGTTATATATATAATAACGTACAAAATATTTATTTCATTTAAGTTTTAAATAGATAATAAAATATAACCTAACAAGTCTACGTACTTGCATTGTGTGCACTTATCTCTTGTCTCAGGAGGATCAGCAAGAATTTCTGATAATTCTTGCAACACCGACGTTTCATTCATAATTATTTTGAATCACAAAACAAGAAAATACTAAGCATTACTATATACTAAACAGTAGTATTTGTATAACAAATAGTACAGGGCAGTATTGAAACTATATCTATGAACCACATTTATCCTAATAAAATTGTTAACAATAAAAAATACCTTTTTTTTATGTCAAATAGAACTAAAAATGAAATAAAACGTGTTTTGAAGTCAATATTTTTATTTTTTAAGATAGTTTCATTTTTTTTATTTCTAACGTACATGTAACTGAAATTTGAATCTCCCACCTTTGAAAGAATTCATAATCGATTCATCGATACATAGCAAAAAATATAAACTCTCGCAATTATAAGCCGCAAGAAATAATAAAATTAAAATATTTATTTACGTTTTCTGCGCTAATTGCAAGTATATACGACTTATTTGATCTATAAATTGTATGTTAGATCATAGATACTTATACAGAATAAAATTAACGACAAAAAATATCTTACGAATTTAAAAAAATTGAAAATATCGTTCGAGAGATACTTTCGATTTGTATAATGCAGCTAACTTCAGTAGCTGCAGTAACTGTCCTGCTAAAATGCGCTTCATATTTCGCCGGTGATATACACTGCAGACAAAATATATGAATAACAAAAAGAAGCATAGGTACAGGTATACTTAGAATTATAAATATTGGAAATATAGGGATTTGAGGATTAAAAAAATTAAGGTTACAGGAATTTAACAATTTTAGAAATTAAAAATTCGTATATCAACAAATTTTTGAATATAGATTTGGAAATTTTTAAATTGGAAGTTTTGACTTATTTTTTAAAACGCACTGATATAAAATAAAAATAATGTTTGTATAATATCGTTAACTTTTTTTAATTAAATACAATATATTGTGGTATCAAAAAGATAATAAATTTTTTAGATCTTGTTTCTTAACTGTTAGTGATTTATCTGATATTTGTTTGCAATAGAAAAATTATACAATGATGAAATTAAGTTGCTATGATATCTGATAAAAGATTAAAAGTATTATTAATACCTCTAGTTTCTGTTAATTGGTAACTATAGATATAACAAATACTTTCAGATCTAAGATTATCAATGAATACATGACTATTTTCAAATCAAATAAAAATTTATATAATTAATATCGTTAATATTATGTTATTAATTTCTGCTAACTTAGAAAATGTTATAAAATATAAAAATATACATTAAAAAATTTTTTGATAAAATTTTCAAAATATAAATTCACAAAACTTAAAATTCTATATACTAAAAATACTTATGTAAAAATTCTAATTGAATAATATATAAGGTACAAAATTTTTAAACACATATACTTCAAAAACATAGTTCTTTATCTTTCTCAGTACAAGTTTGAAGCAATTTGAATATCAATGATTCCTTAGAAAAATTACAAATAAAATATAATTATAAGGAAATAAATGTATATAAAATCAATACTTAAGCAGAATAAGTATTACAGATACAAGTGGTTTTGCATTATGTTACACTTAAAAATCTAAATGATTCTGTAGACTGTTTGAACATGGAAAATCAAACGAAGAACAGGATCTATAAAGTGTACCGAACTACGCTTTCATTTATTACAAAGTCACATTTATTAGTCTCAGCTCAGCTATCTCAGCATCATCAATAATACGAACCTGGTGTTCTATATACAATCTACCTTCTGCGCGTCTTTTTTCAAATAATAATTTTAATAAGTAATAATAGTAGTAATAACGTGTCTCAAATATTTTCGAAATATTTTTTTAATTTTTTTTTTGCTTTTGCCTCGTTGATATTTTTATAAGTGTGCTGAAAAATTGGTATAAATGTAACTACTAAAGAAGTAATATTTACCGTAATAATCATCGTAGCTTAGAGAAAACTTGGAAGGACTGTAACACTGTTTTACGTTATCCTATATTACTATTGCAACGTTATTAAAGTTGGTTCGTTTAGATATATGATTTAGAAAAACCATTTAAAAACAAGATTAGCCAAACGATCCTTCTAAATAACTAATACGAAATTATTAACATTTTGTCCCTACAATTCGTTCAAGCACCATTGGCCGTTAATACATGAGCGATTGAACAAATTGGATTTGATTAAGGCTAAAATTATTACTTCGTTCCTTGATTTACTATCACTGATAGATACTACTTTGTAAATGTCGATAATGAACTTCGATCGACGCTAGCATGCTAATATTAATTCTTACAACTAGATCGCTACCGTCGATACTATCAACGATAAGCTTTTCGTTAGTCTTGCCGTGTTTTGTGGTGTTGGTGGCTACGACACTTGATTCGTACTGATATCCTATTTTCTTATATTTCTATTTATTTCCTATCATCACGTCATATATTAACAACTAGTTTAATTCGAACAATGATTTTTCGTTACATACCAATATATTCAATTGTCTCAGCAACCAACGGTAGAGTCAAAAACAGCATAAAATTTATATAAAGTATTACAGATCTTCCAGAATTTTTCTAAGTTATAATTGTTTTATTATATTTTCTCTAGCCAGTAACCGCCATCTCCAGATATTACTCAAACTGGAATCAAGAGACACAAGGCGGTGTAGTACTTCCTTCTTTTTTTTTTTGATTGGTATCAATCTAAATCTAATATTTGGACGAAGTGCGAGGATGGGTCGTGCGTGCTTTTGCTTTCTAAATCGAGCGTGCGAGTCTCATAAAATCGTTTTACTTCATTTAGCCACAGATAGCTTACTTTCGTGTTTTATTCGCAAGTTATAATTTATCTTCGTTAATTCATTTGATACGTGCCCTAGTCTTAAAACATAACGGGAAAAGAAAAAAAAATATGAATGTCATAACTATGTAATACGCGTGTGTTGGTATGTGTATCGTGAAGAATGATTGGAATTTGTAGAACAGCCCTGAGAAAGAGCGAACGACGCGCGTGGAAACAATGTGTAGATGAGTGAAGGCAGGATGCCCGTGTGAATCTGATCTGCATGAGAATGAACGTTTCATTGAACATGTGAATTTGGGAGTTACTTATCATTTACTTCTTTTTATGTTTGCTTTTAACCTCAAGTCTTAAGAGCTGTATGACGCGAATCTGCACACCCGTGCCTCGAATTTGTATACAAATGACAACCTTCAACGCTAAATATCGATACTTCTGTAAAGGAAAGAAAGTAAAAATTGATCAATAACAAATCGTAGTTCCAATATAGAAATGTAGATTTTGAACCGATAGAGATGAACTTACCATCAGGCAACTCGTATAGTTTTCTAGGAAGAGAGGCAAAATAAGGATGCCTTAATGCTTCTTCAGCTCCTATCCGTTGATCAGGATTTAACTGTAGAAGCGACGATGCCATACTATCAGCTTCAGCAATATCATAGAGTCTAGGAAATGAAAGACCCAATTTTCGTGGAGGATAGAATCCCAGTCTATGTGGTTTGTATCCTGGCAGGTGCGAGACACCAGGCCAAGTTTCTTCAGTAGGAGTACCCAATACTTTGAATATCTTATGAAGTTGGTCGAACGTACAGCGTACACCTGGGAATGTTGGTTCACCAGTCAACATCTCCATAAATATGCAACCTACTCCCCACATATCAAGTGAGGTAGAATACTCTGTAGAACCCAAAAGAACATCAGGTGGCCTGTACCATAAAGTAACAACTTCATGAGAATACGTATGCGATGGTACAGATTTAGCTCTTGCTAAACCGAAATCTGCTAACTTTAATTCTCCAATTTCACTGATTAACAAATTTTGTGGCTTCACATCCCTATGTAATACTCTCCTAAATTAATGCAGAATGAATTAGTTATCGACATTAAACAAAATGTCTCAATTTCATATATATGTTCTTACCTGCGGTGGCAATATGCCAATCCTCTTAATAGTTGAAATAAAAACAATTTAACATTTCGAGGATCTAAACCTCCATTGCCACTTCCATACCTTTCCATGTATTGAGACAAATCGGTATGAACATATTCAAAAACAAAAGTAAGAGTTTCGCGTGTATGAATTATATCATGTAAGGTAACGATATTGCTATGCTTCAATTCTTTAAGAAGGCTTGCCTCGCGAATAGCAGTAAATGGAGCACCTTCTTCTTCTTGCAGTCTAATTTCTTTAAGTGCCACAACTTGATTTGTAAGGTGACTATAGCCTTTGAACACTGTGGCATATGATCCTTCTCCTAATTGTTCCAATTTTATATAAGCTTCAGATTTACCAAAAGGAGAATCTCCCTATAAATATAAATATGAATATCCTTTTTATATAAAAATGTGCAGGATATGTAAACATCATAAATATAAATAAATATGAAATTACCCCAAAAGCTGAAAATCTCTTGGTTCTTCTAGGAGGTGGATCCGGCCCAAGGAAGACCTCCGACTTGGGTCGTGGTGGACGCCGAGGTCGTAAGATTACTCTAGCTTCTTCGCGTATATCCTCATCAAGAAGCTTGGAATCACTAGAAACGGAAAGCTGCCGATGCACTCTCTCATGGTCGCCCACACCTGTCCATTCTATGACATCCAATTTCGTCCTTAAAACTTTCTTTAAAATAACAGCAATACGAATCCACGTAGAATTACAGTCTCACAATATTTTATCAATACATAAAATTTCAATTTAAGTAATGCTTCTTTACTACCAATGAAATTATGTAGCTGACTGGTATTAATTATTAAAGTAATAAATTAATAAATATTCAGTTTGATAAATTAGATGATACTGCATATTTCATATTTCACATCTAAGAAAATCTTATTACAATGTGTGGGATAATAGAAGAGTACATTATAGACATGCTAGAAAATATTTTTGTAAGTATAATTTCTACAGTATCTTACACTTACCATAACGGCGATCCTTATCTGCAGGTATGTTGCCGTTTGGTTCTAAACGGTCTAGGAACTCCTCAGAATAGCCATTATATGGCAGTTGACCCCTGTTTGCAGCATCATCAGCCTCTTCTTTTGATATTGCTGAAATTGATGAAATAATAGTGATAAATTGGAATTAAATAATCAAATTCTTAAAATTATACATTGATAATTTTATTGTAAAATTTCAACTTAATGAACATACAAATTTACAGAATAGTTTAAATGATAAAAAAATATTTTTATATAACTTTGAAGTAATAAAAATATCATAGAAGTTATATTGTAAAATAAAATTGGTACTTTTGTAATAAAATATGATATGTGAAAGCTATTGCAATAAATACAAAAAAGAATTCAGAATTCTTCTTGTTTTATTCCAATAAAATTGATAACAGTATGAAACATGGCATATTATTTTAGGTATCATATAACTTCAAACAATTTAAAGTATACTTACAAAGTCTCCCAAAACTATGGCTAAGTCGTTTTTTCAGTTTTTGTACTCTGCTAAGAGCACCTCCTTTCTTCTCCCGCATTGTCACAGACCCTGTGCATAACAAGCGCAATCTTTAGCAACTGTAAATCAAAACAAAGATATATAAATTCAGATATTAACATAGAACGATATATAACCAAGAAACTCAGAATTTCAAACATTATGAACTATTAGATATATGATGACATCATGTAGTATGTAATGTTACTGTTCCTCGATTGATGGTATGGTTAATGGTACTAGGAATGTATAAGATATGTCTTGGATAAGATATATTATAAAAATATTATCAACAAGTTATTTTCTCAACTTGAAAATGAAAATCTATCTTACTTATAGATAACAATATTTTTTTATGTATCGAATAAAGGAAAAGCTGTTGTATAACATCTTCATTTAAAGAAGGAATCATTAGAGCAAAAAGCAGTTAATTGCCTATACAAATGTAAATGACATTCCTCCTTAATTTGTATGCTTTGTAAATATATCTGGTTAATTAAGAAAAGACAATAGGAACAGTTGTTTGTACCATTGATAAAATTACTACAACAGGAGAAAGAATAGGTATTTAATTAAACAATAAATAATATTAAGCATTGTTAACAAATTACATACACATGTAATACTTTACAAAGTTACAAGAGACTATGTGACTGCTTCTTTGAATCTTGTAGCTTACATACAAGTAATAAGGATCCCATGACTATACGTGTACATATTCTATTATTAAGAAGCAACAAGTAATTAATAAGGTGAACAAATATAAATATGTAACATACTTAAATACATTATACATATATGTATATACCATATTTCTGTGTAATATATAATGTATATATTAAGCATGTACACGCATGTGTTGTTATTACAGGTCAATGAACCAAGAAACTTTAGTTTTATGTCAAAGAAGAACGGATAAATTACGTTGATAATTTCTAGAGTGGCTACTGACTCCACATCTTGTTTCAGGATGTTCCACATGCTTCCCCGTACACAAAAGCACTTTTTTCCATTCACGCATCTGTCGCGTTCCGCGACGTTTACGCGGCAATGAAAACCACTACGATATCCACACTACAAGTGACGATGCACAACTTCGATACTATCTCACGTCTGATAAACTCGTTTATACGACCGAAGTTCGATAAAAAGGTTCGCCAAGAATGTACATGATCCGTTTCCCTCTTCGAAATACATACTGTTCGTCCCCCACCCCTTTGGTTTGTAAACGACACACTCTCCTTGCTTCCCTCTTTACCGCACTCTCATGGCTTGTCACTTTGTCTCTCTTGGCCAGACTAATGTCCGCCTCCACAATCACGGAAGTTTTGACACTGTCCACTAACAACCTATTCGATGATCGTGTTTTTACCGAGTTCACATGTTCAAAGTCGAGAGATGAAAATCCACGATAATATACGAAGAGAGGGTAAAAATGGAAAGCGATACGCGTCGAGGACACAGTCTAAGGCTGTGGAAAAATGGGAAAGGAGGGGGTTAGAGCCGAGGAATTACTTCAGATAGTCGGATCTCGCGAGCGTCAACTTACCCTCTTTGCTTTTCGAGGCGGTCGAACTCTTGTCTTGACAGTACATGATTACTCATTCGCTCAAACGCATGAAACACATCACATATGGGCGGTGACGTACTGTGTGTTGTGTGTGTATGTGAGAAGCTACGTTTCGTGGTGTTTCACTCGGGCAGGTCAGGTCCGGCGAGCACCTCCTTCACCTTTCCCGTATCTCGTACATCGGTGGTAGCCTACGATACTTCTTTACTAAACTGATCGCCATGAAAAATATATCACCGTCTTCCCATTTACCGCTTAAGATCACGCACTGTGTATTCCGATTGCAGTACGCGCCACCGATATTACCCCGGTTAAACTTTACCGAAGGCTTTTCACGCCTTAACAAGATAGCAAATATTTCTTTTGCGGCCGGGGTTTCTCTGTCGCGACTTCCTGGATGTACGGCGGGTGCTCGCGCACGCCACCACTACCTCGAACAACTCATCCGCGAGAATACACTTCTCCTAAGAAGTTCTCAATTCCCACAGCCCCACTGCCTCGCGCCACAGACAAAAGTCTAAAACTGGCCGATCTACATGGCCCTGGGTGTATATAATATATATACAGAGTGGTAGCTCAATTATATTTTATATCCGTTAAGTTACCGCCATCTGAGTACTGTCGAACGCATAAACTTACGAGTATATAGAGATAGAATGTAAGCTTTTTCGACAAAGTGGAGCTGACATGAGAGGAGGGCCCTAATAACTGGCGCCTAAATTTGTTTGTGTACTTTTATGCACATGCTGTACCGCCAAGTATAAAAATTACCGATATCGATTAATACAATTATTTGTATTAATAATACAGAATACAAATAAAAATAAGACATTTATTTTGTCCCACTGTATATATAGCATGAAGGTGAAAGAAAGCCATAAAGGGAGCATCACACTCGTGATTAGAAATCGTTAGGCTGATGACCTGTGCAGAAGACCACTTTCTCATAGAATGAAATATAAATGCAGATTTGCTCATTAGGGAAATTCCTAACCACAAATGTAATGCTTCATTACAGTCTGCTTCCGTCTTATTCTATCTTCGTGATTATATATACAGTAAAGAAAAATAAACGAACAGAGAAAACCGATAATAATGTAATAATTATATAAGATGAAAGATAAAAATATAAAACGAAAGAAATATATGCAACTTTCTTAGTATATTTATAACATATATATATGAAAAACAAAAAGTATTTCACCTAACGAAAGAAACATACTACTAAGTATGTTTCTAAGTATGTACTTTCATCATGAATGTAAAAACACATTGTGTTGCCATAAATTGTAAAATGCATAGAACAGAAACTGTGATATACGCAGAAAGAATGGAAGTGAATGTACTCTTTCATGAACATGTATAATATATGCATTCATACATTTTTGTACACAGACTATAGTTCAATGCAGAAACTATATAATACTGAAAAACATGGCTGTTAGTTGATGGTTGATATCAGTTGATGTGTGTTGATGCGATGGGAAAGTTTACGTAAACAAAACGTTAACTTATAATAATTTTGTAATTAATGTGAACTTGTAAATAATAAAGTAATAATAATAAATTTTACATATACATGAATATAATACATTGTAAATAAGTATACATATATACCTAAAATTTACACATTTTTGTTATTAAAAACTGTGCAATTACTGATGTGAGTACTAGTGTGTTTATCTACTGTGCATTTAAGGAATTAATAACCTTAATAGGAATTTAATAGTTTACATTCACGTATATTCAGAAAAAATGGCTGATTCTGAGGAAGAAAATGATAAAGACATAATGTCTGGAATCAATATGACTGGCTTTTTATTTGGAAACATTGATGATAATGGCCAGTTAGAAGATGACATTCTTGATCCAGAAGCTAAGCAACATTTAGCTTCTTTGAATCGCCTTGGATTAAGTTCATTTATTCGTGAAATGATGTCTAATGAAAATACAGCTGATGGACAAAATGAAGCCAATGATAAATCTATAGAAGATAACGAAGCGGCTGATGAAAAGGATATAAACTACATTGAAAAATCACCTACTGCACTTGATTTCTCTGATATAAATGAATTAGCCGATGATGAAAAAGAAGAAAGTAGTATGTAAAATAAGCATAAACTATAGTAGAGATTACTTGTTTCATGTATAAAAATGGAGTTACAGTTAAAGCTTTATTAATCTGAACAGATTAATTCAGTGAATTACTTTGTCCCCTAACTGATTTGGATAAATGTAGTTTTAATTTATACAAATATCTATATTATAGTATCGATTTAATTTGATTATTATTTCAATGAATAGGTAAGCAAGATACGTTTGGTGAAAAAGCTGAAAAAGAGAATGCTGATTATGATGCAGATGATGAAGAAGTTATTAACAAGTCTGACACCCAATTAATGCCTCCACCTCCAATACCTGAAGAAAAGGAAGCACTTACCGCAGAGGAAGCTGAAGCTGCACGTCAGCGTAAATTAGAAACTCCTCTTGCCTCTATGTTACCATCTAAATATGCCAATGTGGATGTCACTGAATTATTTCCTGATTTTCGTGCTAATAAAGTACTAAGGTTTTCAAGATTATTTGGTCCAGGAAAGCCTAGTAGTCTCCCGCAAATATGGAGAGGTGTTAAAAAGCGGCGTAAAAAGAAACGTCATCATGACATTAGAGATTCTGATTCTGGCTCAGACCAAGATGAAAAGAAACCAAAATTTAAAGTGTGTATGGGTAATGATTTATTTTTGATATGATAATAATTTCATTGTCCCTTATTAACAAAAATTTTATGTTAGGGTTGGATAATGCAGTATGGGTCGGATCCAACTCCAGATATTTGTTGTTCTGATGATGAAACTAAGCTACTGATGCCAGTAGAAGATAAGCAACAAATAGGTAAAACAGGTGAAACTGGAGAAAATGGGGATATGGGACCAAAAGTAGCAGATTGGCGTTTTGGACCTGCACAACTTTGGTATGATATGCTGCAAGTTCCAGAAACTGGAGATGGTTTCAATTACGGATTCAAACTCGTAGACAAGGTATTTTATTTTAACAATGTTAAATTATAAAAGTATTTCAAATACAAGTTACAATTTAATTTTTTCAAAAATATTAGCCAGAAGATTCCAACAGTAAAGATACTAAGGATAATAAAGATATTAAAGACACTAAAGATATTATAGATATTACGGATAATAAAGATTTTAAAGAAAATAAAGATGCTAGAGAAAATAGCGAAGAATTTTCGGATGATGCATTTTTAATGGTATCGCAATTACATTGGGAAGATGATGTCATATGGAATGGTGATGATATAAAGCATAAAGTATGTTATATTGTAATATAAGATATCTCTAATTACAATTTTTGTAAAATCTTATAATTGAAAATGTAAATATTTGTAAAGGTGTTACAAAAGCTGAATAGTAAAAATAATGCAGCTGGATGGGTACCATCCAGTGGAAACAGAACTGCTCAAGCATTTAGTCAGCCAGGTAAAGGAGCACCTGTGCCAGTTGCATCAAACGTTCGATTAGCTACATCACAAATTACTACTCCATTACATATGCAATCGCAAAAGAACAAAATGTATGTTATGTATATAATCACACTATTGTGTTATTACATATACGTCCTTGTTATTATTCTCACTTGCATTTTTATACTTTCAACAGGAACATGAATAAAGGAAATCAGCAACAAACACGGGAAGAAAATTATGACGATACATGGTATTCTATTTTTCCTGTTGAAAATGAAGAACTAGTATATGGACTGTGGGAGGAAGAAGTAATTTGGGATCCTGAAAATATGAGAAAAATTCCAAAACCTAAAATTCTTACTTTAGATCCAAATGATGAAAATATTGTTCTTGGGATTCCTGATGATATTGACCCAGCTTTACATCACAAGGATAACGGACCTCAACCAAAAGTAAAAATACCCCATCCACATGTTAAAAAAAGTAAATTACTATTAGGAAAAGCTGGAGTAATTAATGTTCTGGAAGAAGATACTCCACCACCACCACCAAAATCACCAGACAGAGATCCATTTAATATTTCAAACGATACGTAAGTTAACTGAGGAATAACAAATATAATTTTAATTGCGTCGGAATAAATGTTTGATTACTTTCAATGATTTTTAGATATTATATGCCACGATCGTCAGAAACCACATTGCGTTTGAAAGTTGGAGGTGGAAATTTGATACAACATAGTACGCCAGTAGTGGAACTACGCGTCCCATTTGTTCAAACTCATATGGGACCAATGCGGCTTAGAAACTTCCACAGACCACCATTAAGAAGATTCAGTCACGGTCCACTTGCTCATCCTGGACCGCATTCCGTTTTACCATTAATAAAGCATATCAAAAAGAAAGCTAAAGTATGTACTGTTTTTTATTTTTTTGTACTGTACTTATGGTGCCTTCAATGAAGTATGCTGTTGTTCTTTCAGCAAAGAGAACAAGAAAGAATTGCATCTGGTGGAGGTGATGTCTTCTTTATGAGAACTGCTGAAGATTTAACTGGCAAGGACGGTGAATTAGTACTTGTTGAATTTTCTGAAGAACATCCTCCTTTGATGAATCAAGTAGGAATGTGCTCCAAAGTGAAAAATTATTACAAAAGAAAGGCAGGTAAAGATCAAGGGCCACAAAAGTATAAATATGGTGAAACTGCTTATGCACATACAAGTCCGTTTCTTGGAATTCTTACACCTGGTCAGAGTATACAAGCAGTTGAAAATAATATGTACAGAGCACCAATATATGAACACAAAATTCCGGAGACAGATTTCTTAATCATCAGGACAAGACAGCAGTATTATATTAGAGAAGTGGATGCTATATTTGTTGCTGGACAAGAGTGTCCGCTATATGAAGTACCGGGGCCAAATTCAAAGAGAGCCAATAATTTTGTGAGAGATTTCTTGCAAGTATTTATATACAGATTATTTTGGAAATCTAAAGACACACCTCGACGTATTAGAATGGATGATATTAAAAAAGCGTTCCCTTCGCATAGTGAAAGTAGTATTAGAAAACGTTTGAAATTATGCGCCGATTTCAAACGAACAGGTTAGTTTCATAAATGTAATGAATTTCAAAATAGCATATTAACATTATTATGATTGTAATCAATACTGCGTTCATAACAGGTATGGATTCTAATTGGTGGGTTATAAAGCCGGATTTTAGATTACCAACAGAAGAAGAAATTAGAGCAATGGTATCTCCGGAACAATGCTGCGCTTACTTTAGTATGATCGCAGCTGAACAAAGATTGAAAGATGCTGGTTATGGTGAAAAGTTCCTGTTTACTCCTCAAGATGATGATGACGAAGAAATGCAATTAAAAATGGACGATGAAGTTAAGGTTGCACCTTGGAACACTACACGAGCATATATTCAAGCTATGAAAGGCAAGTGCTTGTTACAACTGGCAGGGCCAGCAGATCCCACAGGTTGTGGGGAAGGATTTTCCTATGTTAGAGTACCAAATAAACCAACAATTAGCAAGGTAAGTTATTTAGTATGTATATTAAATTAATTTATAATTCTGTTTGTTAATTTTTTATCTTATAACACCAACTAGGAGGAGCAAGAAGCTCAACCAAAGAGGACAGTAACTGGTACTGATGCTGATTTAAGAAGGCTTTCGTTAAATAATGCAAAAGCGTTACTTCGCAAATTTGGTGTTCCTGAAGAAGAAATTAAGAAGTTATCACGTTGGGAAGTAATTGACGTAGTTAGAACATTGTCCACAGAAAAAGCTAAAGCTGGAGAAGAGGGTATGACAAAGTTTTCGCGAGGAAATCGATTTTCCATTGCTGAGCATCAAGAAAGATACAAAGAAGAATGTCAAAGAATTTTCGATTTACAAAATCGTGTATTATCTTCCAACGAAGTTTTGAGTACAGACGAGGGTGAAAGTTCAGAAGAAGATAGCTCCGACATAGAGGAAATGGGTAAAAATATAGAAAATATGCTTTCTAATAAGAAAACCAGTACTCAGTTATCCCTTGAGCGAGAGGAACAACAACGACACGAATTACGAAAGATGTTAATGGGCGAAGTGCAAGAACAGGATAAAAAGAGTAAGGAGAAAAAGAAAGACGACGAAGAAGATAGTCCAGTAAATAATTTTAACGCGCAACAGGGTAGAATTCTTAAGATTTATCGAACATTTAGAAATCCAGAGGGCAAAGAATTTACAAGAGTAGAATTAGTGAGAAAACCAGCAGTTATAGACACTTACATAAAAATTAGGAATTCGAAAGATGAAACGTTTATTAAACAATTTGCAACATTGGATGAGGCGCAGAAAGAAGAAATGAAACGAGAAAAACGAAGAATCCAAGAACAGTTACGAAGAATCAAACGAAATCAAGAACGCGAACGCATGCTTGGCGGTCCAATGACAGGAAATAACACGTCATCAAATAATATATTTGATCGTAGTAACACCAATACCCCAATTACTACAACCTCAAACAGTATCCTTCCTTTCTGTAATTTCCAATCTACTTCTCCCGCTTCCAAACATCCTAAACCTGAAACCTCTCCTTCCAAACGAAAGAAACCTAAACTTAAACCAGATCTTAAATTAAAATGTGGTGCTTGCGGTAACGTAGGTCATATGCGTACGAATAAAGCTTGTCCTTTGTATCAAAATAGTATAACAACAGCACCGGTAAATGTAGCAATGACAGAAGAACAAGAGGAGGAAATTGAAAAGCAGCTTAATACAGATGATCAAGACCTCGTTAATGTAGATGGTACTAAAGTAAAATTATCTTCCAAATTAATTAAGGTAAATTATTTTATTGATTTGATTATACAAAAAATCATGTTAATACATTACAATTATGTTATGATTTTAAAATTTTCAGCACGCCGAAGAAATGAAAAGGCGCACCTTACTTCTGAAAGTGCCTAAAGAGGCAGTAAATTCGAAGAAACGAAGAAGAGCTACTGGAGATGATCACTGCGATTATCTTAAACGACAACAGAGACCTGCTAATAGACGTCGAACTGATCCTGTTGTTGTAATGTCTACGATGTTAGAAAGTATACTTAATGAAATGCGAGATCTGCCCGACGTTCAGCCTTTCTTGTTTCCTGTTAATGCTAAAGTATATCTTTTTATAAACTCGTTTTGAAGGTTACGTTTCTACCTGTAATTTGTCTAAAACTTTGTGAATTCTTTAATAGGCCGTTCCTGATTATTACAAAATTATCCAGCGACCCATGGATTTACAAACTATACGCGAAAATCTGAGATTAAAAAAATACCAAAGTCGAGAAGAATTTTTGGCCGATGTAAATCAAATTGTAGAAAATTCAACATTATACAATGGATTAAAGAGTTCATTAACGGTGGCAGCTAAGCGCATGTTAGAGACGTGCGTGGAAAGACTCGGTGAAAAAGAGGACCGTTTGATGAGATTAGAGAAAGCGATTAATCCTCTTTTGGACGATAATGATCAAGTTGCTCTTACTTTCATCTTAGACAATGTCGTTAATAATAAATTAAAATCTATGACAGAAGCTTGGCCATTCTTAAAACCAGTGAATAAGAAGCTAGTGAAAGACTATTATAATGTTATTAAAAGACCTATGGATTTGGAGACCATATCTAAAAAAGTCTCTGGTAAATCGGCTTATATTATTAATTACATTTTCAATTTTTTTTCTACTTATTATTTTAATGCACTTATTTCATTTAGCTCATAGATATCACAATCGACATGAGTTTCTTAGAGATATTGAACAAATTTTGGAAAATTGTACAATATATAATGGAAAGGAATCTCCGTTTACACAGAAAGCAGAATTACTTGTAAAAGTTTGTAAAGAAACGCTAGATGAGGTAATTCTGAATCTTGTTTCTCTAGGTATTTATTTTATTTAAATTAATTTACATTGTTTTATTAACAATCAAATTATAATTTGTAGTATGATGAACACCTAACACAATTAGAAAATAATATACTATTGGTACAAAAACGGGCGATGGAACAAGCGGATATCGATCCTTCGTGGCTTGGGCCGGACGAAGAAAACTATACTATAGTAGAGCCTGAATTTAGAGGGGTACCATTCTTAATTGTTAACATTTTCATTTCTACGTTATTACTTTTCATCAAATTTTATGATTTTCAATTTTTTATAGAGTCAAACCAGTTCACCAGAGAATCCATTTGGGAAATCAAATATGGATGATTTTGATTTTGTGGATGTAGAGGGAGATACGGAAGGTGATGGCAGTAGAAGTGCAAATTCAAAGAAAAAAGATGTACTCGAAGAAGGTAAGATGTTCTGTTATATTACTTATAACTGTGTAACCGTTATATTACTAATATGTTATGTCGTGTTAGATTTACAATTCTCTAGCGAAGACGAATTTGATGAGGTGCCGTTTGGTACGTATGAACAGTCTGAAAATGCTGAGATGGAAACGCTTGAACTGAACGAAGTTAGGGAAGGTGGAGTGGTGCTTGCGGACGATGATAGTCAACAGGCAGCAGAAGCAATGGTTCAATTGGGTAATGTTGGTTTTTATATGGCGGATCAACAATTGCTTCAGCAAGGTTGGTGACCATACAATGAAATAACAAAATGACGTTATAATTAATTAATCGTCATAAAATTTATTTTTTTAACGATAGATGAAAGTATGGATGTCGATCCGAATTATGACCCTTCAGACTTCTTACTAGCTGGTTTGCCTGCAAGGGAAGAAAAAGGTGAAAATAAAATACAGGATGATTTGGCTGTTTCTGAAAGTGATGATGATGCAGAAAATAATGCTCAACAAAAACAGAAAACACCACAACAAATATCACAACCAGAGGACGATGTCGGCGGTGACTTGTGGTTCTAAGGAAATTTTATTATTTCTTTCAAGTAACAAGTGTTATTATATAATTTATTTCTTAAATCAGAAGACTTGAAAATCATATTACAAATTGTAATGAAGAAGAAATATTTATTTCTTATAGGAATTAAAAATAAGCTTGTATAAAATAGAATACTATGTATATACATACATGTAAATACATAATGGGATTTTGTTTTTTAAATTTTGCGCGTTATATTATTTCTTTCAGATGATTAATTCTAAAATTTTATAAAACAAATAATCAAATAGTATAATGTATAACATAAAAATATAATATTGTATTCTTCTACACAAACAACAGTGTATAAAAACTGCAAATTCATTTGTATTTGTATAAAACATATTCTAACCAAAATTATGTCTGTAATATTTGTTTACTTTCTCAATTTAATATCGTGGAATAATGATCACTGATGAAGAATTGAAAGTTAAAATGGATTATATTGAAGAAATATCTTCTATCTCTACACAGTCATTAAAGGAACCAGATAAAATACTTAATAATATACTACATATTTCAAAACGTGCATCAGGACAGCAACTATTAAATTATAAACCAAGTAATATTATTGTATGCACCCTTAAACTTTTCTTTTATTACAAAGAAAATGTATCTCAGACCGATAACATGTGTCAATGGAAACGACGAAAGAAACGTCGACTTGCCAAAGAATGTTACAATAACTTATTGCATATATATGTTCCTGTTAAACCTAAAGAAATTCTTGAAGCAGTAATTAAGATAATTTATGAAGATAAGCTTTGGGAATTTGAAAGCTTTTGCTTTGAAATTATGTGTGATCTGTTGGAATGTGGAATTAGTGGGTCATTATTAATTCATACGTTATGGGACAAAATTGAAATTCCAAATACAAATATAGAAGAAACGAGAAGAATGATGAGAATACTATATGAGTTACTTGATATTTATGAATGGCCAGATACTTATGGTACAGTAATCGTTATTGAAAGAATCCTAAATCTTTTTTATATTTGTATAACTACTAGACAATCTTCTATAGATATGATACGTTCATATGCAATGCTCAAGAAGGGTTTAGAGGTTTGCATTATTAATCTGGTAAAACGTGTGGACAATGATCATCTTTTGGTCATAGTACAACACATGTGTACATGGGCTATTGAAGATGGAATGACTGATGACATTATTTTAGAGTTTGGTAGTACCCTTGAATATACAGCTTATATGCATGTGGTAACATTATATGAGAAAACGTTAACACCAAAGATATTTCCATTATTGATGCGAATGATAGCATCAAAAAGTAAAATAACTAATTTACTGGGTAACAGAGTTATACAATATTTATTAGATAGAAAGGAAAATAGAATGAATTTTGATACGCCTAAACTGTTTTTTGAAAACACTCAATTTGATGTAAAAATAGGCAAATGTCTTAAAGAAGATAAATTATTTTGCAAACTTCATAGAGAAGTTTTACATGACAGCCTTTTAAAAAGCATTATAAACCACTGTACATCACGTATGAATTTAGAAACAACATATTGTACAATTTGTTTGATTGCAACAGAAATTCCATGCGGCTTCACAGCAGCGGCTTTAGTTTGTCTCATAATGAATCTGCAAGATCTAATTTTAAAAGAAAATAGACATAATAGTGAAGTATCTTATCATTTACATGCTATGATAATAGCAATTATGTCTCTTTTATGCTGGATTCATAAAGCTAAAGTATTTTATGAATATGTGAATAAAATAATATTGGAAAGAGCACAATGGGCTCCACATTTAAATCCGCCTATTCAATCCCAATATAATTTCGCAGCTCATCATATTCTTTGGAATAAGCCAGAATTATTTTTCGTAGATTGGGAAGCACGGTATGGTTTATGGAAATGTTTTCGTTTACGTGACGGTGACAATACATCAGAAATATGAATATTCATTCCGTGGTATGTTCCCACTATTTTCATTTATATTAAATTTGATATACATATATAGTAATACAAATTCAGTTTAAGGTTAAACAAAGATTGTGTGAAAATATCGTTTATTTGGAAGATCATACTTACCTCGCGCAACGTGACTGACTTCAATCGAATCTACTAATTTGCGTTGTTCTATGTTTTTATATATTTTTCACTTGATTGTCCATGCATACGGTGGATAAAATATACGAATAGTGACACGAGGCATAGAATCAAATATGATTACATATGGAAATTAAGAATTTATAATTCTAGAAATTTAAATAGAGATAGGAAATTTGACGACTTGAAAATTTGGAAATTTAGGGATTAGAAAATTTAAATAGAAATTTGGGAATTGAAAAATTCGGAAATCCGAGAATGTCGAAACTCAAGAATTTAGATATTTGTAAATTTGGAAGTACGGATACTTAGAAATTTGAAAATTTGAGAATTCAAGAATTTGAAAATTTAAATCACTGAGTATACATGTTCAGCGTCAAAAACATCATAAAAGCGCAAGCGCGTTACTCTTAGTTACGATATGTTTGAACCAATGAGATATAATATGCGCAGAATGAACCAAAACTAGTCGGATGATGAACGTGATCTCACGTGGAACAAATGCTACGCTTGTTTACATTTAAATCTTGCTAAAGTGAGAGATGAATGAGCATTTGTCAATTTCATGCATAAAAAGATGACAATAGAAATTGATGAAATTAAAAGCAATGATTTTATTACCACCTATATTATGTCTTATGCAAAACAATGCCGGTATAATTGAAAGTTTATCAATAAAAGCCGCATCAATTTGTCTGAAGTTATTCATATCCGTTCGTCCATCTTACACCACTCTAAATACTTTTTGATTCATGAAATATTTGTTTTATAAACTATAAATATAATTTAGAATTAATAGACATGAACTGTTTGGAAAATGACGAAATGTTTTTTTATTATGCTTTAAAAATCTTAAAAGTATAGTGACAATGCAATTAAATCCGTTCTTTTGAATGCAATTTGTGCTGCAATTATTAAAATCGTATTATTTACATAACGAACTCCAACTTCAGTGGATTATTTTCAGCAGACCATCAAATTGCGTTGTAATAAAGGTTAATTTTTAAAACAAATATATAATATCTAATGCTCTCTTTGGTGTATTTTTTTATTAGTGTATTTTATCATCGTTTTTATGACTAAGTTTTGATTACTAATTTGGATTGAATGAATGGTAAACAAACATTAATTTTAGTGACATTATTACGTATAATTAAATATAATGAAAACCATATAAATTATTAGTTATATATAAACGATAATCACATTATCTATCTTTATTTTTCAGTTACTTAATAGTTTCTGTGGAAATAATGTCTGGAGAACAGTTTTCATTAGTTTGGAATAGTTTTCCACGAAATTTATCATCAGGATTGTATACATTATTAACTGATGAGCAGCTAGTCGATGTAACACTAGCTGCAGAAGGCCAAATATTACGTGCACATAAGTTAATATTATCAGTTTGTAGTACATACTTCAGGGAATTGTTCAAGGTATAATGTTATTTAATTGCATATAATAATATTTTTTTGTACTATCAAAATATTTACAAAAACAGGAAAATTCTTGCAAACATCCAATTGTGATTTTGAAAGATGTCAATTACCGAGATTTATCAGCAATGTTACATTTCATGTATCAAGGAGAAGTTAATATTAAGCAGGAAGATATTGCTAGTTTTTTGAAAGTTGCTGAAACTTTACAAATAAAGGGATTAACTACAGAAACTGAAGAGGTATGTTTAACAAGGTTTTATAGTTTAATTATGTAAAAACAGAAATTTTTATTTAATGTCATAGAAACTCGAGGAAGCTTTATCCAAGAACGCACAAGATTTGGATCAAATATTTAGCACAGAACAGGACAGTGTTAATTCTGCAAAATCAGACTTAAATACTCCTAGTTTTGAGAAAACTAAACAGATAGTACAGAATCAACAATCTCAGGGACAAGAAATATCAAACAGTGAACTTGAAAAAGATACAAATGTCAGTAATACATGCTGTCAACAACATTGTACTTCCGATTCAAATTATAATACACAAGATATTCACATGACAAGGAGCAATTGCTCTAGAGACATAGAACCAGAGTATGACGAAGAGGAACCACTAGACTGTACAGCTGATATAAGTCATGTGGAATCCAAGCATGAACCACTGGATTATACTCTTGATATTGATGTAGAAACCGGCTATAAAGCATATTTACCTAATGAACCGTTTCATAAGCCCGAAGAAAATCAAAATAAAAAAGGTATTACTTCTAACATAATTATTTATACCAGCATATAAAATAAATTAATTTTATTAATTTACAGAAAATTATACATTTGAATACATACTAAATAATATTGTATTTTACAGATTTTTTACCAGACATGCAGTTAGTTCCCTACAGTCAAAATGTGCAATCTCAACCATTTGGTATGTTTCTAATCTTCATTTCTTTTATTTAATAATTTGTATATTATATCTGATTTACATTATTTTGCTCAATTTTACAAATTTTTTAAACACATACTGCTTATCTTTATTGCATATTGAATAAATTATTTATTACATTTATCATTAGCGTTTTATTTATTTATACTTATTAGGTTTAAATAATATGACTGGTCTTGAGGGTGAATTTCCATATGAACTTGGTTGTCATAATAAAGGTCGGCGAACAGTTAAAGGTATTTCTAATAATAGTTTACCTTTGGAAACAACTTTACGCGTTGTATCCGAATTGGGACCAACTTTACGCATGGAAAGAGGCAAAGTTATTCGAATGTACTCCTGTCCATGGTGTCTTCGCCATTTTACGCGTAAGGAGAATCTTAAGCTTCATGTCCGTTATATTCACGGTCCGCTTGAAAGTCTAACGTGTAAGCTTTGTGGCAATAAATATAAGAACAGTAACAGTTTACGTGTACATTCGTATCTCTATCATAATGCTAAACGAGACAAACACAGTAAACCACTTGTAGATAGTGGTGTATGAAACTGAAAACAACTAACATTAAAGCTCGCAGTATACATTTTGTTATTATTAAGAATGTAGTAATGCATAAAAGTATATAGCATGTGCTATAATATTGGACAATATAATTTTACTCGTAATCAGATAGGTCTGATTTATGCGCGCGCTGACAAAATAAAATTATTTAATATTTTCTATTTAAGTATAAATATTTTGTCTAGATTAATCAGTAGACTATTTAAAAATTGTATAGATTTAAAGGAACAGAATCTTCTTTGAATAATTAATGAAACTAATTTAAACGTATTAGGCCTTATGAACAATCATATATTTTATATAAAATAGATTACTTTTTAAAAAAGAAAGTCGATTGTAAATACATATGTATATTAACATACCATTTTGTAAATATATATACATTTTTCACAAAATAAAGCGACTGATTTATATCAATCAGTATTTGTGTATTTTTTTTTTACAAATCTCATTGATAGACAGATTAATATTTTATTTATTATAGACGTATAGTAAACTGTATTTTAAATATTAACTATAATGAGAGCTTCGATTTTTGTTTATATACTTAGGGTCCAAAATCCTTGTATACGATCCTGCGTATACCTTCTTCACCTTCATGTTATCCAATTATACTACTTTTAGTTCGGAATACACACCGTCAGATTGCGTTGATTAAATTTTTATTTTATGCGCGAAATACGACGAGAAATGAATACTACTTGAATGTTACTAAGATTATTAAAGTTTATTAATATAAAACATAGATATTTTTCTACAGAGAATGCTTTTATTTATTTAATTGCTTTGATTTATTTAAAAAGAAAATGATATTCTTTAAAAAATGCAAAGTTAATTTCTATGCGTCCTCACCCCAAAAAGAACTATAAATACCAAGTTATGTCTTCCTTGAAACCAAATACGATTAGTCCCATGTATTTTGCGTCATCGTTAAAAATAAGTAAGTTTAGCTGACGTAGTTCAGATACTTCATCCCATATGTCTCTACATATGTATCATTATACACAAATATGAATCCAGGAGATAGTGTGAGGCTCTCATAGATATAATAATGGTGGACATGATGTGGTATATGTATAAAAATGACTATGACTGTGTTTTGTGAATGTGGGTGTAGACCTACCCACTAGACTTTATCTTATACTTCTGTAATATTTTTTCATGATATGAACATCCTACACAAATACTTAAATGTCTTCTTCCTTTTACAAACATATGAAATTCAATCTTAACTCAGAATTAATTTAAACATAATTTCCAAATGTAAGTGTATAAAGGTAACTATATCAGATTAATGAAAACTTTTGAAAAAACTGTAACAATTACAGCTTTCTTCATATACAGGGTGATTCATAAAAATGTGCTAAGTGCAAACTGTTGGTCATATGAACATATGTTTGAAACAAAAGTGATAAAATATTGAGAGTAGCATTCAATGTAATTATTAGTTTATTTTTTATCGAGATCATCTTGAGTCTTATCGATTAACGAGATATTGTTTATTAACATCTTCCCAACTGTGTTTTAAAATAGACTTCATAAAGATGTGAATGTTTGAGATTGAAGAATCGTTCGAATATAAAAATAATGAAATTGAGAGGCATACGTGGTTGTAACAAGGACCATTTACTATAACTTAACACATTAACTTACGTTCGTAAGTAATTTAGATGGCGCACTTAGGTGAATCATCCTGTATAATTATCCCAGGATACCAAAGATCATTGACGATCCGACACCAGATACGCTACTAAACGTAATTAATTCAAATCGAAAGCAATATTATCACAAGTTGATACTTTTTCTTTTGCGATGAATCATTCAGAAATGTTTCGGAACAGAATTTCAGAAAACAATAACAATGTTTTCTTGTTTTTGCGTTCGTTAATTGTCAATTGGAAATTCTTACATTATAGATCATTTTATTCGTTACACAAGGCGTCTCGGTTAAGTTGAACATCTTAATTTTCATTGCAATTATACGTAGAAATAATTATTGTCAAAAGTTTTCAAAACTTTACGCTAAATGTTTGTACTGAAAATATATAATGAAAATTGTCTTTACAATGAAAATAATTTAGATGCAAAAATGCAAAAATGCAAAAATAAAAAAATATAAAAATGTACTATAAATACAAAAATACAGAAATTGCTTACAAAAATTAAATTATAGGTTTTTCAAATTAGATTCACTCTTTTACAAACTAAATACTTTTCCATTTATAATTAAAACAAACAACCTTGATTACATAGTAAGTAATCAAAAACTCATACATTCATAATTTAATGTATGTCTGTTCTCCTGTAATAGTTTATTTTTCTCGTCAGTTCATTGTACTCAGAGTTGATATAGAAACCTTACCTAAAAACGAAACACATTAAGTCCGTATTTGTTAATATGGGAACGAATTATTATAGAAATTATTATTATATAAATAACCGTATAATTATACAAGAGTATTATGTCTGCAGCGTGTTCTTGTAATAACATTTGCAGCCAAACGCACCCACGTAACATCCTTATCATTCTCGAAAAATTAGCATTAGCAGTCTTCTCTCTTTCCTATCTTGACTTTTGCAATCGTCCAATATCAAAACTGCCTCCGTTCTCAGGAATTCGTAACTTGTATTCGTAGTAGACGATCGATTTCTCTCGTTTACCGATACTGCCGCGATTCGTCAACCTGGACCAAAGTCCGAAAGATCCGACAAATTATCTCAGCAGGCCGCCTATAATTAAACCGCGATTGGATTCGATGGTTTGCTCGACGATTAATCGGCGGATCCCTGAGGACTCCTGGGAGGAGAGGGAAGTAAGGAGACGAGGACAGTGCCTCCGATGTGCTACTGTGTATCATCTGGCTAGCGTCTGGCTGGTCTTTTGCAAGGGGTCAAGGGTCGACCTGTACCGAACATAATCGTTTATACACGCCACTCAGTAGCACCGTGGACTCCTCGCGATTGATATAATAATTAACAGTCACTCCGCGAACTTTTAAGTGCTGCGAATACCTGTTGCTTCAAGAGTGTACGATGAGTTCTACCTTTGGTATCATGGACGTGTTTGGAATTTCGCTTTTGGCGCACCTCGTATTCAGTTTGATGCTGCTTGTCTTCTTGGTGCCGATACTGCTGCTCGTTTATCCCGGTAATTAGCAGTTTAATCTTCTACTTTCTGTAAGCCTTCTTTGGTCTAATTTAATCTTCGATCTAGTTTAACTCTTCTGCTGAGATCTAGTTTAACTTCTGCTTCGATCTAATTTGACTTCTGCTTCGATTTTGTTTAACTTCTGCTTTGATCTAGTTCAACATTCTACTTCGATCTAGTTCAATCCTACACTGGTTCAGCTTTTGCGGTTCTAGCTTAACACTAAATTTACGGAACCCGTCAAAATGACGGATAATAGATCTATTTTAGATGACAGAATTTGTTAAGAAATTCTCTAAAAACTTTTATCAACTTTCAGCAAAAGAATCAATGTTTTAGGCAGTTCACATATTATCTGCAATTTATTTATTTTTCTACTTTAGGTAAATTTAAATAAAAGTGACCATCAAACGTCCGTAAATCTAGTGTTAAACCTTCTAGTTTGATCTGGTTTAACCCCTCTGATCTAGTTTGATCCTTCTGATCTTTTCTTTAGTTAAGGGACGCGTCAAATAGATTAACCCTTGGCACTCCTTAATTTCTATTACCTACCAATTCGATCTATTTTGTGAATGAAGGAGTATTTTGTGAGAAGGGGGTTCTGTATTAAATGTATTGCAAGAGTGGGGTATGTGACAAATATATTTTTCCTTTATTATAAATAGTAAATGAATGAAAATATATGTATTTAACCATTTATAAGATTCTAGAGAAATGTGATGTCGAGTGCGACTCGACATAGGAGTGCAAAGGGTTAATAATACTAAATTTTTTGTTAATAGTAATGTTGTTAGGTGCACATTTATTTTTAGATTGAAAAATAGTAGAAAAAGGAAGGGAATTTAATGAGAGTGGGAATTTGAAAATTTAGTGGTTTAGAAATTTGGGAATTGCAGGATTTGAAAATTAGGGTTTTTTGAAATGTGAGTATTTTGGGATTTGAAAATTAGGGTGTTTTGAAATTTGGGAGCTTTGAAATTTTTTGGGAGAATTTAGAACTTTTTTAATTCACAGATTTAGAAATTTAGAAATTGTGAAATTCACAGATTTAGAAATTCAGAAATTTTGGAATTCACAGATTTAGAAATTTTAATATCTAGAAATTTAAAAATTTAGAAACTTGAGAGTTTGAAAGTGCTGGAATTTAGAAATTTCAAAATTTGAAAGTGCTGGAATTTAGAAATTTGTGAATTTGAAAGTGCTGGAATTTAGAAATTTGAGAATTTGAAGGTGCTGGAATTTAGAAATTTAGACTTTGAGAACTTGAAAATTTGTGAATTTGAAAGTGCTGGAATTTAGAAATTTGAGAACTTGAAAGTGCTAGAATTTATAAATTTAGAAATTCAGAAATTTGAGAACTTGAAAGTGCTAGAATTTAGAAATTTAGAAATTCAGAAATTTATGAATTTGAAAGTGCTGGAATTTAGAAATTTGAGAACTTGAAGGTGCTGGAATTTAGAAATTTAGAAATTCAGAAATTTATGAATTTGAAAGTGCTGGAATTTAGAAATTTGAGAACTTGAAGGTGCTGGAATTTAGAAATTTAGAAATTCAGAAATTTGTGAATTTGAAAGTGCTGGAATTTAGAAATTTGAGAACTTGAAGATGCTGGAATTTAGAAATTTAGAAATTCAGAAATTTATGAATTTGAAAGTGCTGGAATTTAAAAATTTGAGAACTTGAAGGTGCTGGAATTTAGAAATTTAAAAATTCAGAAATTTGAAAATTTAAAAGTGCTGGAATTTAAAAATTTGAGAACTTGAAGGTGCTGGAATTTAGAAATTTAAAAATTCAGAAATTTGAGAATTTGAGTGTACTGGAATTTAGATATTTAGAAATTTGAGAATTTAAAAGTGTTGAAATTTACAAAAATGAAAATTGTCCAAAAACCCCATTAAGGGTGTACACATCATTGAATTACACAGTGCTTCTATCAAAAATTGTTATTCAAATTTCAATAAATATTCCTACTTATAAAAATTACATTTAAAATCTACATAATTATTCACATAGCTAACCAACCCCAAGAACATAGAAATATTCTAAATAATATAATATTATAAATAATAACAAATGAGTTCTCTATACATATAAAAAGTGCTATTAAGTATACCGTATTCAAGATATGACGGGAAAGAAATTGTTCCGAATGTTGACCGTGACAAAATATTTCAAGATCATTGAAATCCACAAATACAGCAGCAGTCCATTAATCATTACTCCGATAATATGAATTTAGTGCCGCTGTAAGCTTATATAACATTTATTTATTTAGTTTTGTGACTTGCAATCGCATTTAGATATACATTTGATACATTCTTAAATCGCGTGCTTTTTCCTCTATCTTTAACACTTGAACTACTGAATGGACAGACAAAAAACTTGTTATAGGTTTTTTATTTTATACTGTAGATCTCTCAAAAAATTGACCAAATTTTATACTGATATTTGTATAGATAAATAATTGCATAAAACACTTTGAGTTTCATTCAATTAAAATAAATAGTATTACGCACATACTTTTGCTTATTTTTTACTATTTTATGTTTGTAGTACTTTTTTTATTAATATAACAATTTTTAGTTATGGAAGTCTTAGTACTTAATTTTTGTGCTAATTTTTGTTATATAGCAAATTTTTTTTTTAGAATCTAACAAATTTTATATACGTTTATACTATTTTTACATTTTTATTGATATAATGGTTGTAAAATTGGAGAATTTCTAGTACTATTTTATTAACATAATGTTTGTAAACAATTTTGAAAATTTTTAGTACATTTTTATAAATATAATATTTATACAAAATGTCTATTATTTTTTTATTAATATAATGTTTCTAAAAAATAAAAAAAGTTTCTAGTATTTTTTATATTAATATAATATTCCTATTAAATCGAAAAATTAATTGAAAAATTAATTTAATGTTCCTATAAAATTAAATAAATTTCTAGTATTCTTCTATTAATATAATTTTCCTATAAATTTTAAAAGGCGTTGATTTTTTATTAACGAACATCCATCAAAGTTTTATTTTACAAAGAATAAGACGCTTTCTATCGCATTGTCTGCTGATTTGATAGTAAACAACGAAGTCGATAGTATTTCCCCGAAACTGTCTTTCTCTGAAATCGTACTATACAAGCATGATTTTGTGTTCCGAGTATCCGGGTAACTATCGTTACATTGTACTTTGGATACACGCACTGTCTTGTATAATATCGAACAGTTTTTACGTGCTCGCATTTCACGCAGATAGTATTCAACTTTAACATTTTAGAGTCACTGCAACTATATATAAGCAATGAGATAATTCAAGCAGGAAATTTTTATTCAATTGAGTCTGCTGAATCATTCGATTCCGACGAAATTAACGATCTTGAAGAATATTGAGAATATTTATCAATTATGAAAAGAGGAGAATGGTAAAATGCTTTCACAGCACTATTTTATGTACACTTCTAAATAATCGAATATGTAATTTATTTAGAAAATAAAAAGGCTTTAAAAGAACCATAACTTGTTTAGTTGCAAGTTTGATAAGTCAACATTAACGATTAATGAAAATAGAAATGAGTTATGTTTATGATCTATTCTGAGCAAGTCGTCAAAAATTCTATTCCAGTGGTGAAAATTATAAAGTGTTATAAATGCAATAAAGTAATTATTATTGTATAGTTATTTAGTACTGTAACAATTAATAGTGTAGATTTGTACTTGTATTCTTTACGGTTCCATTACAGTAGTAACATGGTGCAGAAAAGTTTGGGTCAGTTTCGTAAAATGGAAGTACCCGAACGTTGTGGTGGTAGAAGAGATCTGCATCCGCACCATTTTGGACCAATTTCGAAATCACGTAGGTAGAACACACGAAATCATTAATTTCGATGAAATTGCGATTCACGTTATGAATGTATAGCGGACGTAAAAAACAATCAATCAATATTTATATGGCACATAGGACATACCGAATAAAGATTAGTTATGATGATTATTAGGTATTAAAAATATTCTAGCATGATAACTGTTATTTCAGATTTTAAGAATGATATTCGATAAATTATAATTACTCATCAACAAAACGTCAAAAAGTGTTTCCAGTAGAAATGATTTCCAGCTGTTATTCAAAATGGCGCCATGCTGGTGGGTGACTCGGTTCTGCCCTAATTGCAATCTCGCTGACATTCTTCATTGTATCAATGTAAAACGGTATAAAGTCAACGTAAAAAATATTTGTAATTGTAGAAAAAACCAAGTATAGCTAGAGGTAGAAATACAGAAATTAATATTAGATCATCGGTGATTTTTCATCGAACGAAAGGCAAAACGTTACGACGTATTACAGATATAGCACTGCAAAAGTCTATGGTTTACGAAGTATACAAAAGACATTTAAAAAATGAGTTCATTGATGATAAACTACAATTTTCACATAACCCAAAGAAGCAGTTTTGTTTCGTCTATTATTTTGTTCACATGTTTTGCAGAAAAATACATCTTGATAAGAAGATACATGTAGTACTTGGTATTTAGTAGAATCATTCGTAAATAAATTCAATACAAATCGAAACACCGTTTATTTCTTTATTTATTACAAAATAAAAATGTTTTGAAAGCTTTTTCACGCCACTGTATGAATCTTGAGCTATAGAAAATGCGTAAGTCTTCTTATACATATGGAGGGTGTGTCTGACGACACATAATCCTATTTTACTAGCATTCAATCTGTTCTTTACGACATTAGGTACTTTGCTATACACGTTATGCAATTTTTGATCCGTATATTATTTTAAAACTTACGTAAAACCATCTACTTGACTATCATGATTATAAAATAATAAAAAAAAACGGAGTCTACCACCTTAAGTATTATATTGTTCATAACTTCGAACGTAACGAACTAGTAATTAATGAAATACTATAATTAGAAAATATGAGAAGATTTATTTATCAGAGATATTTTACTCATTTTCGCAGTATGTCCTATGCACCACATAAATATTGAACGGTTTGTTTTGAACATCCTGTACATTGGATCTTCTTAAATTTAGGGGATTTATACTTTGCTGATTCAAGCCCGTTCAATCGCGGAAAACATTCGGGGCCATTTAATTCACCTGACATCGTCCAGAAGATTCCTTCGAGCAGGCTTGTCCACAAGATGCGGTCTTTACGTGTGGAAGGACCTTGATTATTTCTCCGTAGATAATCAATTATTAAACTCACCATGCTCCTTTAGAGGTCGACCCATCACGGAGTCCAACATTCAGGTCCGTTTTATACAATTTTTATTCGTTCTCTTACTTTTACATTTTTAAACAAAATTCACTTCCTAAATTAATTTCATGTTTAAATGAAATGTCTCTACGTTTTAAAATTGGTCATTTGATGTGATACAGATATACAAATTCGACAAAGACTATATTTTCTTAACTTTAGATCAAATAAGTACGTGCGTTGGAAAAGGAACGAAATATTAGCTACCTCTGAATGAAGTAACTGTCCACAAAATTGTGTTAAGAAGTCCAGATTAAACAACTATTAATTTCTACGAATTAATTTAACAAAAACCATGAATTTGGTTTCTTCTCCAACGTACCGTTCGAATCAGATAACTCTGTAATGTGGCTATTTGCAGTAGATTCATGTATTTTAGGACTACGTCAGCGATCTCACGTCCAAGTTCTTCCCACCGGGACAACCACCGTGGCAGGTGCACGTAATAAATTGTTTCCTCCGCGGAGAAGAGTATCAAGTTTGCCTGGTGAGGGTCCATCATCTGCTACTGCGTCAGGAACACCTAGCACTCGCAGATTTTCTTCCGTTAAGATACTCCACCGACGGTTGGACGTGTCAAGACCCAGATTCACCCTTCACCAATCTTTACGCCGAACCCGCTGCACTTCCGAAACTCTATCAAAAGCTCACCGAGAGCTTCAGCAATTATTGGAACGAGTTTCTTTATAATAACGACCCGAACGAGAGGCCGGAGATTCTGAAGAAGCAGATCGGCAGTTTTCAGTGCGCAAAAATCGGTGTTATAGTTCTAGTTTCTTCGCTGAAAGAGTTGACGAGGTAAACTTCTTTGCGATTCATCTTTTGATAGCTTAGCTCTTTTAGTAATTTTATATAATTTCTTTTTAATACTTGAATAATTACGAGATTCTTTTATTTTTAAATTAGTCAGAACGTTTTGAAAAACGTTTTAAAATAAACGAATGTTAAAACATATACACAATATAATACTTTTAAGGAATCTTAAAAAATGTAAAACTAGGAAACTTGTAAAGCGGTCATGTAACATTAACATTATATTAATGTAATTGATATGTAAATCTAAATTATCTTCTTTTATTTCAGACGGTACAGAAAAGGTGAAAAGCGAGGTTTCTTCGAGGTCTTCTCCATCCTCCAACGGGAGGCAAACAAACGCAGCTTCGGTCCCCTAGTGTTTCTACGAGCCTTGCTAAAATCAATGAATCCTTTCGAGGCGATATACTATGTCATCACCTGGTTATGGTATCTGGCTATCACGTTGACCCTGAAAACACCAATACTGTTATTGCGAGAACTTCGAGCCCTAAAATCGCGTCATAAGCACTACTATCCTGACACTTTGACGTCCATGCTGTGGTACTACGTTCCCCTGGTATTCCAAGCCAGCATGGAAGTCCTCTCCATCACCTGGATAGCGATCAAAGCGCCGAAAATGATTTTGGAGGAGCTGTTCCTGAAGCATCCGCAGGCGAATCGTCTTCAGACGACGTCTCCTTGCGGTCGGAAGGTGGTTGCGTGGTCGGAGGAGGTTGAATTCGAGGTTCTGCGAAAGATTTCTAGTATGACCGGCGCGACGGAAGCTGAAATACTGTTAGCTGCCACGGTCGACGCCTTGAAGGAGTATTTCCGTCATTCGGAAGTTAGGATACCGGATGACGTGCTCGCCACTGGGAAGTTTACCAGTCAGAGAGCGATATTCGTGCAGAATCATGAGCCCAGAGGGGTTCTGTGTCTTGCGCTGCCTACTAGGACACCGCTTTTCGAGGACGATCTGGTTGAAATTTTACAGGTTAGTATATTTATACTAACTTCTAGGCACTTTCTGGTCTCTTTTTAACTGACTAACTTTGAGTCGTTTATTTTGAGATCACTAAATCCATTTGTCACCACTAAATATACTAATCATACAAAACATTTTGCGGTTAAATATATTCAGAGTATACGATAATTTTGGACGTATAAATGTTTGTAGATATTTTGGTAGTTGACATGCAATTATTTAACTCTGGTTAAAATGACTGGTCTTGGGATTGCCTTATTTTACAAAGGGTTGTTGTGTTTTTAAAATGTCTGTCTCATTTTGTTAAAATAAAGGACTTGTAGTTCTTTACTGTACATATAACTCCTTAACAAACGAACTAACTTAATACAACTCCTTAATAAACAAACTAAAATAACTTAACTCCTTAATAAACGAACTAACCTAACTTAACTCCACAATAATCGAACTAAACTAACCTAACTCCTAAGAAACTAACCTAACCTAACTCCTAACTCCTTAATAAACGAACTAAACTAACCTAACTCCTTAGAGGCAAACAAACGCAGCTTCGGTCCCCTAGTGTTTCTACGAGCCTTGCTAAAATCAATGAATCCTTTCGAGGCGATATACTATGTCATCACCTGGTTATGGTATCTGGCTATCACGTTGACCCTGAAAACACCAATACTGTTATTGCGAGAACTTCGAGCCCTAAAATCGCGTCATAAGCACTACTATCCTGACACTTTGACGTCCATGCTGTGGTACTACGTTCCCCTGGTATTCCAAGCCAGCATGGAAGTCCTCTCCATCACCTGGATAGCGATCAAAGCGCCGAAAATGATTTTGGAGGAGCTGTTCCTGAAGCATCCGCAGGCGAATCGTCTTCAGACGACGTCTCCTTGCGGTCGGAAGGTGGTTGCGTGGTCGGAGGAGGTTGAATTCGAGGTTCTGCGAAAGATTTCTAGTATGACCGGCGCGACGGAAGCTGAAATACTGTTAGCTGCCACGGTCGACGCCTTGAAGGAGTATTTCCGTCATTCGGAAGTTAGGATACCGGATGACGTGCTCGCCACTGGGAAGTTTACCAGTCAGAGAGCGATATTCGTGCAGAATCATGAGCCCAGAGGGGTTCTGTGTCTTGCGCTGCCTACTAGGACACCGCTTTTCGAGGACGATCTGGTTGAAATTTTACAGGTTAGTATATTTATACTAACTTCTAGGCACTTTCTGGTCTCTTTTTAACTGACTAACTTTGAGTCGTTTATTTTGAGATCACTAAATCCATTTGTCACCACTAAATATACTAATCATACAAAACATTTTGCGGTTAAATATATTCAGAGTATACGATAATTTTGGACGTATAAATGTTTGTAGATATTTTGGTAGTTGACATGCAATTATTTAACTCTGGTTAAAATGACTGGTCTTGGGATTGCCTTATTTTACAAAGGGTTGTTGTGTTTTTAAAATGTCTGTCTCATTTTGTTAAAATAAAGGACTTGTAGTTCTTTACTGTACATATAACTCCTTAACAAACGAACTAACTTAATACAACTCCTTAATAAACAAACTAAAATAACTTAACTCCTTAATAAACGAACTAACCTAACTTAACTCCACAATAATCGAACTAAACTAACCTAACTCCTAAGAAACTAACCTAACCTAACTCCTAACTCCTTAATAAACGAACTAAACTAACCTAACCCCTTAATAAACGAACTAACCTAACCTAACTTAACTACTGAATAAACAAACTAACCTAACCTAACCTAATTCCCTAATAAAGGAGTTATTTTTGTGAATCACTGCTTTAGTATTTACGTATTTATTTTCCAGTTAAAAAATAAATAACCTAACCTAACCTAAACTAACTCTATATGTTAATCATTGCTTCAGTATTTACATACTTATTTTTCATTGAACAAATGAATATCCATTAACACCATTTAGCTCTAAAATTAAATTCAATATTGAAATACGCGCTATCCACGATACAACAGCGCGTCATTGTACTCGACCCAATTTTCATGATCTAACGGTTTATTATCCTTCCGTTATCGCGAACAATTATAGCGTTTCACCCTCTCTACGAGTTTCGCTTCAGCAATCTTTTCGCTTGCTCCAATTATACGTCCTCTCATTCTTATTCGAGTTTTATCGATCTATTTATATATTTGGTCGTGTAACGATAATAACCGCCGAACAATAATATCGTTTACTATTAAATCGCGTGTTAAGAGGTTGAAAGAATCACGTATCTTTCCAGGTCATCCAGAAAAACGTGCGAGAAGCGAGATCGAAACAAAGCGCCTTGTACGCCATTACGGCGGCGGAGGCGTCTGTCGGCTTGATTTCTTCTTGTTTACCTTCGTTGATGCTCAAGGTGTTGTTAAATCAATTAACGAGAAGGTATTCTCTCTCCTTGACACACGTCGACGGAGATTTACCGGTGGAAGGCGTCGATGCTGTGATGTACTGGAGACCGCCTCAAGGCAACTGCAGTAAATAAATCTCTTTTGTTTATTCTTTTTAATTTTTGGTAACATTAAGATCATAAACTCAGACCTAATTTTTGAGATCTCTGAAAATTGATATGATCTCACGGTCCTTGTTTATCTTATATCGTTTTTACCAGAAAAAAAGGGACTGTAAATGTTTGGTCTCCAAAAACGTGCAAAATGCAATTTCATAATTTGAATAGTTTGAAGCCAAAAATTTTGTCATACTTCTTTTCCCAAATATTACTTAAACCATACTTAAAAGTCGTATAAACCTAGATTTTTGTGTTAAAAACTTTTTAAAACTTCATACCAAATGAAAGCATGTATTTTTTAAGTTTTTGAATTTGGCGCCTTTTTTGAATTTTGCCACTTATGTTTATTATTATTAAATTTTTATTTAGAATGCCTTCTGTAAGACGTTTTCTCAATTTGAACAGGGTTTTAAAGAGTCAGTTATCTACTTTAATTTTCGTGATTATTAATTATCTTTTTTTTCTAGATATGTCGATAACTCTACACAGGTATGGAAACGGCGTACGTATGGGTGTGATGGGTGACGCGCTAATTGGCCCCGAACACTCAATTATCACGAGGACCTTTCCGAAAAGTGTGGAGAATCTCGCTAACGTGGTTGGTGTACCAAGAACTCCTAGCAGGAATTCGACGCCGAGTCCAGCAAGTCCGAGTACATCGCCAGGACATTAAATATGCAGGAGGACTATGTAACATAAGTAAAGGCCGAATTGACGTTTAAATTGTCATTTAGCATGCTACTTTTATGTGTGATGTTGTTGGAGGTCCTAACCGTGTGTTTGTCACATCATTTTTTGTACTATGCTGTTTTCTGTTCCTTGTCATTAACCTAAAAGTAGGGATACAATAGGCAACGAGCGGTACCTTTGATGTTTGAGAAGACAGAGCCTTGTATACGAGCGGGAAATTTAAATCAAGTGAATCTAATTTCATGTCAATACCTAATAATTAGAAATTTATCGTAAATTATTAATATTGACTTTCGGAGTATTTACATCAATTTTATAATATTCAAAAGTTGAAAAAGGAAGATATATACTAAAATGATTTGCACAATATAATAAGCGTATTACAGAAATGATTGTTATAAATAACTTATTAAGAAATGGCAAACTAAAGTTGCGGGTTTAAACCCGCCAATTCTTTGTCGACCGCCATATTTGCACATTGTGCGCATGCGCATTTCGAAGTACCGCGTTGATGTACTTTAATTGTTTGACAGATTTCTTCAAGTATTCCACGCTGATTATATTTTGTTTATTTTAAAAATTAGAACAGAATTAATTACGTACCAATAAATAAACCATTTGGAACGTTTACTTTAAAAGTGGTGTAAGTCCATTTTCATTTATTTTGAGAAAATTAAAGATTAGTATATCTCAATGAAAAAATATAGGTTAATTGTATCAAGACTGGTAATTCAGCAATTTTTTTACTGGTTGATTAATATGTAATTTGATTATATAAATTTTTTTTAGGTGATTTAGCTAAAATAATGTATATTCATGCAAATGTACTTATATCATTTTTTAAATAAATGTTTCATTTAAAGTTAAAACGCATTCCGGTTCTCCAACAATGTACACACATGTACATATGTATACATACATTGGACGTCGTACGATATGGTGTTGCGGATAATTCGATACGTATTATCAATCCCTTTTTTCTTTTATTTTAAAATTCACGATCATTTACACGTTTGTAACTTTATATTAGAGACTAATTAATATTACTTATCGCATATTTCTGACGTTATCTACAATCGCATGAATTATTTTTCAGGTCACGTACTTCTGAGAAGATAAATATTCTCTTTTTTTACCAAAAGAGATTTAACGAAATTTCGACTCGTGTAAGGAGATTCGATCGGATACAGAGGTATCGTAAGCTTCTGTAAAGTTTGGTTATTTAATCGCGTCGATAGAAATGAATAATATTTATAAATATTTATGCGATATTCGCCTCGTACTATGTTTTCATTCTTTTTATAATTTTTTAGAAAGAAACTAAACAAGAAAGAAAAATGTGGTTATTTTTGTCCTTCCCTTGCTCCGTTACTTTTCTCGCGTTTAATTACATAACAAGGTTAGTGTAATAAAAAACACATTTGATTGCGTTTTTATATGCTGCATGTATATATTTATATAAATATAAATGTTCGTATCTATTTATACATACGTTATTAACATTTGCAATATATTATAAAGGTCAAGAAATTAGTACATTTTTCCATACAATTCGTTACAGCGGTTAACATTTCAGGCATTACAAGTCACCAGTAATATGAGTACATGAATACAATTGTTTTTTCGTTATTCTCTTCGTTCACCTGAAATTTGTAGTAATTATATTTTGTGAACAGCTCCAAGGTCTTTTTCACAAAAGAACAAAAAATTTTCTTTTTATGAACGCTGAAGAAGTTAATACGACAAGTTGATTGCCATTGTTGACTAGCTTATATTTGGAAGCATATTATATGTATCCCTCATATAATAATTGCTCGCGTTATGATTTATATACACAGACTTCTTTCTAAAATATTGTATATATACAAAAGCAAATTCTTACAACGAAGTTTAATATCGGAAATAATTAAGCGATTTGTTTTTTATCGATTGCATCTGCCCATGTTTCAAATATTTCATAACTATTAAATAATTAAGTACAAGAGCCGAATTTTTTAAAACATATTTTTTTAACATTTGTATCGATTTTTTAAAAATAAGTAATTTATACCATTTTGACGCTGACTTAAATGGACGCTTACTTTGGATAAGGTATAGTGAAATATTACGACGAATTGTATTAGGGTAACAATTTTTCTGACTTACTTCGTTTGAAAATTTTATATCATAGGATAAAAAAAATAGCCGGAAATATTTATAACAAATGATCGTTAATACAGGGTATCTCACAACTATGGTAGGTCCCTGAAATGGAGAGTAGCTGACGTGATTCTGAATAAGATTTCCCTATGCACAAATGAGGTTTGAAGCTTCGTTTTTGAATTATTAAGGAAAAACACGGACCAATCAGAGTGCGAGGATTACGCGTGCGTAGACGCGAGAACGGCAGCTTCGAATAACGCATAGTTATGCAACGTGTGGTAATGCAACGCGTGGTAATCCTACGCGTAGTAATCCAATGCGTAGTAATTCAACGCGTACTAATACAGCGTGTGGATATCCAACGCGTAGTAATCTAGCGCGTGCATATTTTACGCGTAGTAATCCAACGCGTAATAATGCAACGCGTAGTAATTCTAAGCGTAGGAATCTAATGCGTGGTAATCTAACGCGTAGTAATCCAGCATGTGGATATCCAACGCGTAGTAATCCAACGCGTGGATATTCGACGTGTAGTAATGCAACGTGTGGTAATGCAACGCGTGTAATCCTACGCGTAGTAATCCAATGCGTAGTAATTCAACGCGTACTAATACAGCGTGTGGATATCCAACGCGTAGTAATCTAGCGCGTGCATATTTTACGCGTAGTAATCCAACGCGTAATAATGCAACGCGTAGTAATTCTAAGCGTAGGAATCTAATGCGTGGTAATCTAACGCGTAGTAATCCAGCATGTGGATATCCAACGCGTAGTAATCCAACGCGTGGATATTCGACACGTAGTAGTCCAACGAGTAATAATCCTCACGCTCTGATTGGTCCGTGTTTTTCCTTAATAATTCAAAAACGAAGCTTCAAACCCCATTTTTGCAAAGGGAAATCTTATACAGAATCACGTCAGCTACCCCTCATTTCAGGGACCCATACTACTTATGAGACACCCTGTACAAATACTGCTAATTTTAATGAAAACTTGTTAAATTACAAATTTCAAACTTAGACATTTCAAAATTCAGAAATTTCAAATTTAGTAACTTTCAAGTAGAAATATGTTGTTCATATATATATTTTAAGAGAAATACATAAGTTGCTAAAGAAGTGAAGAATTTCAAATGTATAAATTTTTAAATATTCAAGAAATATGTATAATTATATAATAAAAATGTGAAGGACATGAATTTCATTGTTAACCTAATATTAATCGCTTGAGTTAGATTTTAGTTAAAGAATTGTCCTAAAAAGGCGTCGCAACATTTTACAATCGAGCACTTTATAACATACGGTAAAAGAGTATTAATCGTTCGTTCACTAAGTACAGACGCAAATGATGGAAAGAAACATTTAAGTGAAATATTGATTTCTATAATTCGATTGTTCTTCATTCTTACTACGAAAATTGTCGTTTAAATGTATCGAAAAAGCTGTAAATAGATATCCAAAAGTTGGATGAATTTGTTACTCTTCAATTACAATATATATACATATATGTATATAACAAGATAACATTGAACTTATTGTTAGAAAATTGTTTACTAATATAGCTATACGCCCGCTAATATAGTAACCTCTCGATAAATGCACTTTTGAAGTTTGAAATTCTCAAGTTTTAGGATCTGAAAAATTATAAAGTTATAAAATTGTAGAATTGACGTTACTATGTTTTAGAATTGGAAACTAAAAAATTTTTAATTCATAAACTTTTTCAAATACATAAAATAAAAATTTTTAATTTAAGAAATTTATTTTAAAAATTTAGACATTTCAATATACAGAAATTTGAAGTTTAGTAATTTGAATAATTATAAGTTTCAATTTAAGAAATTTTCCAGTTCCAAGAAGGAACTGGTTCAAAGCCCCGTACGCACGCATTTATCGAACGGTCACTATCTACTTATTACCAAGATACACGTGCTAATTTCGACATTTCTCTACATTTTACTTCCTGAAAACGATACGATCACAGCTGGGACGTTTCGTTACAACGATGCAAAAATTATCGTGCATCATTTTCATTATCATGACAGACTTTTGATTTTTCGATCTGTTATTTATATTGGACGTTATAAGGCAAAACTTTAGAACTGTATCAAATTCTAGACACTTGACAAATCCTTGTCTCGATTAACACGTTTACGAATTGCACAAATTCGATCGTTTTTAACGCTTGTTAATTTCACGAATAATCTACGAATACGTATGCAATTTTTATCGTTGACAACTGGTCAAATATAAGTGTATATATGTTATACATATATAATTCGTTGAATAATTATCAAACTAGCTACTTCTCATTTCATGGTAAATATTTTCGTCATCAAAATAACTTTCGAGAAAGAAATTCGTTTACACAATTCTTTGTTTCAAAGAAAATATATTATCTGAATAAAATTCATAGAAGATATATCTTTTGTCCTATTTAATACTTGTCGTGCATATTAATCGAAAAATAGAGCATATTTGAAAAGAATTTTATTTTATAATAAAACCGTAATGACTGTTTTATAAAAATGAAAAATCATAATAACATGTAAGACTTCTAAATGATTAGAATTATTTTCATTTTTATAATAGCTCCATTATTATGATTCCGTTGTTAACTGAGTCTTTTTAGAGTACAGAAGTCATTCAGTTATTTTTCAATCATGCTCGATAATAACTCTTTGTAATCAAATAATTTTTTAACATAAACCAATTCCTGTATTCTTTTTTATCTTCAAAGCACAAGGAACAACATAACCTAACTAAATTACGCTATAAACAAATATACATTGACTGTATATTACATTTGTTATTACAAATGTCGTTTTATAAATGCTACTATTATCACTGTACACAAAAATATAGCTATATAATCTCTGTATAATTGGAAAGAACATAATCGTTGAAGCTAGAATATTTCTTCCCAAGTATGAGCAATTAATAATTAACAAACAAATAACGAAGACGACAAAACATCTTAATCCTAATTCTCGTACTTTCTGTTCGTTTTTATAACAATAACAAGAAAACAAAAATAAATCGATTAACAATTTTATCATCTACTTTTTACAAACAAATTTGTTACGACCAGAAATAACGGGTAACTTTCATAACATTTCTTTTTTAAAATTAGAATTTAGGGATCGCGAAAAAGAATTGAAATTCTTCATTTTGTATTTGAGAGAAAATTTTATTTAAATTTTGGGTGCTGAGCGTTAGGTGGGTAGCATAGCTCAATATCTCATGAGTTTTTATTCATTAAATGTTGTGAGGAAGAAAACAATTTGGTGGTAAAATATTGAGATATAAATTATGAGAGTTTTTAAAACTTTAATGTTAGTACTTTAATGACAAAGAGAGAAACATTTTTCAAACATATTTTAAAAGATTTCTACCATTTCCTATCTCCCTTCAGAGATTTTGCTTTTTGTTCTGTATTCAATATATATATTAAATATAAATATTTACCAATTAGTTTTTGGTTAGGTTTCTAAGAACAGAAGACATGGCAACAGAACAAATTATTTCTGTAATAATAAGATTTAGTAATTTAGAAAGAAATATAAAGCACAGAAATACATAAATATAAGAAATCTCCAATGATGAAATTTCCTAACTCTCCAACTTTCAAATTTAGACACTACTGTCCTCACGCGAGCTAAAGTCTAAACTCTTAAATTTCCAAATTAATTAAGTAACCCATCAGTACCCAAGTCTCCATTTTTTCATCTATCACCGATACCCAACCTAACGCTTCACCAAAAAATTTAAGCTAAGCAAACTTTCTCGCGTTCCATCTCAATAGGACCTTCGCCCCAAATCTTCCTATTTTTCGTATAAGGAACAAGTCCTACAAGAAGTCCAGAAACAATGATCCAACCTCCAGCCATGTGAAAGGACAAATCCCACGAATCCGTCACATCGAACAACCACCCAGCTAACGGTGGACCAAGAAGGTTTCCTATACCTTGACACAAAAGACTAAGACCATAGGCAGTGGTGAATCTTTCGAGAGGTATTAATTCTACGAGTATAACAGGAGTGAAGCTAAAATTACTGGCAAAAAATAGGCCGAATGCTGCCGAGGTAATCATCAACAGGTTGTAGTAAGGTGTTAATATTGACATTAAGACTGTTGCTATACCGCAAGCAACCAAGCACCACGTGTAAGTTTTACTAACGTTCATCCAAGGTTGATCGCCGGCCCAACCAAGACCAATCTGAAAATGAGGAAGATAAATATAACTGTCCAATTTAGTGTTTGTTTAATGATTAGATGTAGAAGATACCATTCCAATTGTGTTAGTGATGCCGATTATGCTGAGAAGATTTGCAGCGTCAGTTTCCGTGTAACTGTTTCTGGTGAGGTGCTCGGCGAGGTAAAAGTAAGGCACAATAAACCAAGTAAACAACAAGATCGTTGATAGCGAGAGCAATAAAAAGTGTAGTTCCAGGAACATTGAAAAATCCATCATACCCTTTAATAAATCCACTAACTCACTGTACCATTTCTGTGGAAGGAAAATTTTAATATGTTTAGAGATCTTTAAAATGGCGGCCTTGGTGGTGGGTTAACCACTGATTTTGTGGATGGGTCTTGTGGGATTTTGGTATTTTAGCATTTTGACATTTCAGCAGTTTGGCATTTTGGTATTTTAATATTTTGGTATTTTGATAATTTGGCATTTTAGTATTTTGACATTTAGCATTTTGGTATTTTGGTAATTTGGTAATTTGGCATTTTAGCATTTTGATATTTTGGTATTTTGATATTTTTGACATGGTAATTTGGGGTTTAAGTATTATACAATTTTTGATTTTTTACACTTTTTATCACATTTTTGAAAAATCACCTTAACAAATTCTGCAACTTAGAACAAACTACTCCTAAAACAATCATTTGACTGCTTTTGTGGTTTTAGCATAAACCTACCTCTTCATTTTCTTTTGCCAATGTGGTCATACTGTTTCTATAAATGTCGGGACAGCTACTAGCCCTTAATCTGTACTTGTGCAAATTGAGAGCAGCACCACGATACATGACCGAATTTCTGTGGACTCTTATATCCTTGAAGTAGTGAGTATTCGTATTGAATTGCCTTCTCAGCCATGGAAGCGAATCTGTTCTGACAACACCACAGTTTAGTTCTCCAAAGCCTTTGGATGCTGGCTTCACTTTTCGACTGTCGGCTGTCTGAGGAATAGATTAGATGGAATTATAGAATTGGTAGTTTAACTATGATACTATGATTATTATTCATAGTATAATACATACTATGACTTTATAATTTTCATGTATAAAATCAATTACTGATCTATTTACAGAAAATTTTACTTGTACATTGCACGACACTATAAACCATATAACAAAAATTATTTATTTAGTAATTAATTATAACAGAAAATATTTTTTGCTGTATTCATACAGTGCGATAATTTTGCATAAAATTAATCTTATGAGTCCTAGTACTTATAGGTGTAGATTAGTAAAAATTTGTTTCCTCAACTACTTAAAATCATCAATAATAGATATATAGTGAAAATATTTGACAAGATTTGTTAAAAATAAAAATACTATCAATTTTTCAAATGTTCAATATAAAAGTCAACGTCTCAGTAAAATCAAATTAGACACTATCATGGATAGTTAGATTTCAACTAATAGTTTAACAAGCTCTAATAAATGTTTAACAAACTAATAATAATTGTACCAAGAAAGTATTATTTTAGGAATGTATTTGATAATTTTTTGCAAAATTATTATTTTAGGTTTTTCTACAGTAATCATACAGAGTTTGTTTTAAATCAGAATCCCAAAAGTTGTATACAGAAGTTCTATAGTCAAAATCAATTAAAATACATATAATGTTTCTTCACATCTAAGATATTCTTCCAATTAGATCTAACACTTTCCCGCTCATTTGCGAAGATATATCATAAAGGTGAAATTTAAAGAGGTCGTAAAACTGTCTAAGCTTCACAGAACATGGAATTTGAAGCCTTGTGAGGAAAAATATAAACTGTTTGATTAGAGACGTGTATCCAAATATTTTATGGAATGTCAATGTACTGTGTAGTTAGTATACTTAAGAATCGTCAAAATAGACTAATATATTCGTCTTGACGTCATTGAAAGATCGTTACCTTTTATGGCTTAATCTTTTTGACTTATATAGGAGAGCTATAAAGCTGTTACACTCGATTTTAACATAGAACTAAAAATTTAACATAGTGATATTGGCCATTTATTTCCAACCGAACTTATACGAATTTTCTCATTAATTTCTTCTATTAACATTATTTCTTCTCTAAGAATTTTCTCTAATATACTAACTGTATGTTCCTGTTCTTTCGTCAGCAGAGGATTTGCTTCTTCAGACTCCTTTTTGGACATCTTTTTAGTTATATGATTTTTAATGGAATTGCATGTGGACCCAGGATGAACATTATTCGTCACATGTGTATCTTCACTCTTTGGTCCATCGGTGGCTTGCTTGATCCTTTCAAATAAAATAAACAGTATTAAAATTTTAACATATTAATTAACAACATAAAATAGCAAGAATTGAAACAGTATAAATTATTATTAAAGTAAACTGTAAACCTCATAGACATCGTAACGACACTCTTGTTGCCGACTTCTCCAACGGAATCCTGCAACTTCTTATCCGAATAACTTCTACAGGATAGAAGATTAGGATAGTTCTCCAGAATGACCTTGCAGAGCCTCGGATTCGTAGCCAGCTGTTCTAATACCTCCACAGGCACCTATAATTCTCAAAAATGTACATCTCACATGATTTTTCTATAATTTTAGTTCGAACAATTTTTATAAAAATTTCGGATATTTTACTTGAGGAATTATATCAATGATTAACTAGTCTGGAAGCTAGTGAAATTACACAGACGTAAAAATTTCAGTTTCGTTAATTAGAGCGTTTTTATCTAATTGTTTACTTAATTAAAGCTCAGCGTGACTTATAGTCAGAGTCAACATTCTCGTTTGCTTTGGGATATACACAAGAATTCTATTTCATCAAACAGTAGTGTCAGATAAAAATTTGAAATCACTTGCCAATTTCTGTTATTATAGATTAAATTTTTATAACAATTTTCATTTATACAATGTAAGGATAAGATGAATAGAAGAGTGTCAACTTGTTAGACATGCACATATGTCTATTTAAAGAGTAACTACAAAATTGTTATTTCAATGATCTACTACCTGCTAATGACATTATTCTGTCTCAAAATGGCTGCCACTTATGTCATAGACATCAGCTTCAGACATCAAGTTTAAAGAAATCTAAATACATCCAATTTCTTCAAAACTTTATACAATCACAGATTGTCTGCTACATCAGATTTTTTTAACTCTTTACTGAATTTGCAATTTGATAATGGATAATAGTTTTGATGTGATAGTTCAACTTAATACAAAACTTCTTCGGATAGCAGCCATATTGTACAAGTAGTGTCACTGGCAGGATAGGTCACTGAAATAAAAATTATTGAGTTACTCTTCATACATTTCAATAGGAATGCAAGCTAGAATCATTTAAAAGTTAATTTCTACCTGAATAATCTTATTCTAGATAATATATGAGTAACCCTAATATGTGAATAATCCCATCTGAGTAACTGGACCTTATATAATACATGAATAATCTAACTAAATAACCCTGTCTACAATAGCCCTATCTAAATAACCCTGTCTACAATGAATAATCCTATCTGACTAATACCCTACATAATAAATGAATAAGCCTGCCTACAACAATCCTATCTGACCCTACCTCAAGATCACATAACTTCTGCCCTCTCCAAGCTCACCTTCTCGTTGTGCTTCACAAAAGTAGGCAAATTGACGACGCTCCTGAACTTAACATCCCCATTACTCGAATGTGGATCATCCGTGGTGGTGCTAAGAATCTGTAACAAATACTCCGGCGTGTGTCCGCTCTTCAGCATTCTCCTAAGCTCCTCGACTCCCGGGAACTCGTCAACGGGGCTCGCGATGGATCTCTCGCACTCGGACTTGGTGGTCGACTTCTTCGGAGTGGTCCCGTTCTGCTTCTGCTGCTCGATGATCCACCACTCAGGATCGCGCATCACCGTACCGCAAACAATCATGTTGAAAAAGGTACCCGCTAAGAGCAAGCAAGTGCCCCGCCATCCGTACTCCTCGATGAAGAACGTGGTCATGGGGGCGTAAACGAAAGTACCGATACCGGTGCCGCATGCACCGAGACCTACAGCTAGCGTTCGCTTCTTGTCGAACCAGTACGCGATGCTCACGACCGCAGTGACGTAGCACAGACCCAGACCGAGACCCGCAATCACTCCAAAAGTTAAGTACATTACCTCGATGGTGTTGCTGAAGCAGCTCAGCACGAAGCCCAGCCCTGAGATCAGACCGCCCAGGATGGTCATCGCCCTGCATCCGTAACGATCGACCAGAGCGGACATAATGGGACCCGACAGAAGGGGTACGGCCATAAACAACGACCCTATCCAAGCAGTCTTCGACTTGGACGCACCGAACTCCTGAAGGAATTCGATGTACAGCAACCCGAAGCTGAAGGACACTCCATCGGCTATCATGGAGATGATCAAGGAAGCCAGCACGACTACCCAGCCCCAACCGCCGTCCGGTACTTTAGGTTTACCCGGAAGGATCTTATCTCTGGATTCGCCTTCCAAATCCAGGACGCTGTCGGAGTCGATAGAGTCGCGGGTGTCGTCTTCCCTGAAGCCGGGATTGGAGGTGATTATCGTTCTGGTCTCGGGGTAAACCTTGTGATCGTTTTCTCCGAGTCTCTGGAACGGATGCCCGAAACTGGAGGTAGGTACTAATTCATTCTTGTTGGTAGGACTGGGTCCTATCGTGAGGTTAGGCGAGCTCAGGTAGCTGTTCTCGATGGGGGTAGGCGGCACTCTATCCTCGGTGCAGTCGGTTCCGGGGCTTAGCAGATCGATCTTGTCCTCCAGATCATCGGCCAGACTTAGGTCCTTGCTTCTGTCGATTTCTGGTGATAGAGTTAGGAAGGTGTCCTTATCGGGAGATAGAGACTCCACGCTTCTGTCGATGGTGCGAGCCGGCGTGGACTGCAGCAACCTCTCGTCGGCCAAACTGCTGAGGTCCTCGGTGTTCCCGGAGTCCTGGCAGATCCCGGAACTCTTGGTGGAGAGGACGCTTTGGGAACGGGATAAGTCGATCGTTTCCAGGGTGTCCGGGTCGGGAGTGCCGCAAGGCGTACTCGGAAACACGGTCGGACTGCCATTTTGCCAGCCGACGATGGGTGCTCGTTTCGGATGACGACCGTTCAAATTTGTTTGATTATAGTGATTGTTCGGTCGTTGGCAGTAGTTCGAATCCTTAACGCTCAGTCCATCTCGCCTGATGAAGTTTCTTGAACCGTTACCTTGAATGTCGTTATTGTTATTCCAATTGCACACGGGTTTGTACGTAATAGGTTGTACGCTTGATTCAGCCTCTGTTTCGCATAGGAAGTTCTCGTTTCTGTCGGTCATTCTTATTCTAAATGTAAGTAATAGCCGAGTGGATCCAACGACGGGGCCAGCCCTTCAGCCCTTGGATCTCGCTCGGGAATGATCGGCCGCGCCCTTCAGCTACCATAAGGACTTCCCAGCCGATCTTGGGTGGGTCACTAAACGTCGCTGACCTCAGCATGCACGCTTCCTCTTCGTTCTTCTCCTGTGAAAAAATATTAGCTTTTTTCAATTTGTTGGAAGGGTTGTGTAGAGACTGTTGAGAACGAGATACAAAAAGATTATTCGATCTGAACTTGAGGGAAATTTATAATTTGGCCCTCATGGTTTTCGATTTTACTGTGATAATAGTCTTCTGTGTGAAATATGTTTATCTATAATTTTAGTCTTAAATGATGAGTTGATGGTCAGAAAAGATAATACACTTATTTATAAGAAAATTAGAGTTCCTATGAATAAATAATTTCTTCGGATCAAAATATAAAAATTTTAGTAAAATAATTTTACGTTGCAATATGTATTATTTTTAGATTTTATAATTTTTAGTAATTGTCTTCAGTGTTGCTGTAAATGCAGCATTGTTCATAGAGCATATACAGTGACGTGAAAAACTTATCTTTGTAATACAAGTAAAGAAATAAATAGTATTGAGATTTCTAATGAGTTTATTTATACTAAATTCTGTTAATTATTCAGTATTGATATAGCACAATATTTAAGAATGATATTCGATAAATTATAATTACTCATCAACAAAACGTGAAAAAGTGTTTCCACTAGAAATGATTACCAGCTGTTATTCAAAATGGCGCCATGCTGGTGGGTGACTCGGTTCTGCCCTAATTGCAATCTCGCTGACATTCTTTATTGTATCAATGTAAAACGGTGTAAAGTCAACGTAAAAAATATTTGTAATTGTAGAAAAAACGAAGTATAGCTAGAGGTAGAAATATAGAAATTAATATTAGATCATCGGTGATTTTTCATCGAACGAAAGGCAAAACGTTACGACGTATTACAGATATAGCACTGCAAAAGTCTATGGTTTACGAAGTATACAAAAGACATTTAAAAAATGAGTTCATTGATGATAAACTACAATTTTCACATAACCCAAAGAAGCAGTTTTGTTTCGTCTATTATTTTGTTCACATGTTTTGCAGAAAAATACATCTTGATAAGAAGATACATGTAGTACTTGGTAATTAGTAGAATCATTCATAAACAAATTCAATACAAATCGAAGCACCGTCTATTTCTTTATTTATTACAAAATAAAAATGTTTTGAAAGCTTTTTCACGCCACTGTATGAATCTTGAGCTATAGAAAATGCGTAAGTCTTCTTATACATATGGAGGGTGTGTCTGACGACACATAATCCTATTTTACTAGCATTCAATCTGTTCTTTACGACATTAGGTACTTTGCTATACACGTTATGCAATTTTTGATCCGTATATTATTTTAAAACTTACGTAAAACCGTCTACTTGACTATCATGAATATAAAATAATAAAAAAAAACGGAGTCTACCTGCTTCAGTATCATATTGTTCATAACTTCTAACATAAGGAACTACTACTTAATGAAATGCTGTAATTAGAAAATATGAAACCAAATGTAAAAATGAGTCAGTAACAATTAACAAAATGGATACTATAATCATGTAACAATAAATAAATAAAATAATAAACAAGTAAACAATAATAATAATTAACAAAATGATAGTATAATCATGCTAAAAATAAATAAAACAGTAAACAAGTAAACAATAATAAAATAAATAAACAAAGTACATATACTACCAAAATAAAGTAAAATTCGGATAAATAAAATGTGTAATCTGGAAAAACACAAAGAAAAATACAGAATAATATTAGAAAAAAAATTCAAGAGTACAATTGATAGAAGTGCAGGGGAAAAAGTGTCACTTAAATAATTAATTAAAGAGAAAAGAAAAGAATAGGTATTTACTCACCATTAAGGTAATATAGGATGACTTATAAGGCGTGCATGCGTGTTTGGGTGTAAGAATGTGCATGCGACACTGAACGGCGTGAGCAAAGAAAAGAAATCGATAGAGAAAAATAAAGGTGTACTATATTTGCGATCAAACGGTCGAGCGATCAAATTAACTAGCCGTATGCTAAAACAAGCGAAGCATGCAATGTCAATTAAATAACTCAGAAGCTGCAAATAAAAAATTCTTATTAAAAGCAAAATAAAATATTACGTTTCCTGAAAAAACATGAAAATCAGTGCATAATTAATTAACACCTGGGTACATACTTGCAAGCATCTACAATTTTTAATTTTATAGTGTATCAGTTTTTCGTTACTATTAGATAATATGTGTGTACTTAAATATAGCTGTAAATGTAAATAAATAAATATGAATATAAATATAAATAATTAAACATGAATATAAATATAAATAAATAAACATGTAATGAATAATCTTTATGTGAGATCATAACATATATTTGATGCATTAAATATATATGTACAAAATAATGTGTAGTTACATTCATATAAAAAAATAGTCAAATATTATGAAATAATTATTTGTTATATGTATTCATTTTCTTTTATAATTCAGGGTATGAAGATATTAAAATAGACTTATCGAAAGTTAAATAATTTACATTTCTACTTTCGCTGCTCCAATATCATTTCCAGTTTATACGCGATAAAAAAAGTATTTGCCATCGGAGATTACAAACGTATTTTATCTGATGTCGCTTTAGGGTAACGGTATAATGGAACACTAGCTTTCAATTAGAAGACAGTGTTCAACTTTTTATTTTGTAAAAATAAATAAAGAGAATTCGAGTATGCAATATATCCAGAGACAAAGATTTTCGGTGAAATATGAAAAGGTATATTTTACAATCTTCTATCATTTCAAATATGTTTACAATTTATTAACTACTAACAGTATTATTCATTTATTCATTTTTTTTTTTAAATATTCATTTATTCATTTTGTTTTGAATATTTATTTATTCATTTTTTTTTAAATATTTATTTGTTCAGATCCATTATTTTTGCATTATACAAAACTTTTACAGTACTTAAGGGTATACAATTAATTTAATTTAAAAGAGAGGAATAAAAGACAAAAAAAATTAATGGAAACAATGAAAAATATTTCAGATTAATACAAGAAAAATGAACGTATAATGAAATGTATTATGTTTCATAGATTTCTAATGATTTTTATTTTCCATCGCCCTATTTGCATCCGCCCCTGTCTGTATCAGCAGTTTGATCGTTGACACGTAAGAGTATTATCCTAAAACACTTTATCAATTATCGCTTATATAAATACTAGAAGGTCGACTTTTGTGCTAAGTATCTGCTCGGAGCCTGATAAAAACGGTCGTGAATCACCTGTTAACACTTATGTCAATAACCGGCTACCCTTTTGCTCTTTACCACTTCAAATTTTTAACATTCTCGGATAAAAAGATCAACAAATTTAGATTACCGTTAATCGATAAGTTTCGTGCTGACGTATCTGCGTTTCTATTTTAGAAACTCGCTAAAAAAGATATTTCATACTTCGTGTAAGTGCGCAATATTTAAATCCATAAATTCAATCGCTTTTTAAATTTGTATATTAATTGCGAATTTATTTCTTATTAATAATATAATGAAGACGATTAGTATTAATAATAATGAGGACTATTGTCAATAGTTAGTAGTTTCGAGCTATTTATCGATAGAATTTCAGACCTGTAAATTGGGCGGGAAAATATGAAAATTTAAAATAATAAGTTTTTAAAAATAAAAAAAATGTATATATCGGTAAATTTCAAAATATATATTATATTAAGTATTAAAGTTTAAATAATCTATAAACATCTATAAACAAATAATTATTTAATTTATTAATATTTGCATAAATGTTTATGACTATTTATTTAAATTATAATAACATCAAATTAATTTACAAGATTGTATAAACCGAATAAAATTAAATAATTTATTAAAATGTACAAATATTTTCGAGATAATTTATTTAAATTGTAATAAAGTACAAAAGAATTTTATTAAAAAATATTGCTAAAAAATATTTAAATATTATTCAATTTAATTTAAATATTCTTCAAAAAATTTTTAAATGTAGGAGATCAATACTTAATTACATAAAAAAGTCAAGTATCAGATTGAATGTCAAATCGATACTAAATTGTAGGTTCTTTAACAGAATTACATCATTTCCGGAAGAACTTACGTCAAAGATCAACAATTTTAGATTTCCGTTTTGGCAAACGATTCTAAGAGAACTGTGTCACAAGGTTACTAGATCGCCAGCTTCTTAGAAATAAAAACAACCGACAAAGTTTAATCGTGCAATTTATAATTTTATGAGAGAATCGATGAAGACTCAATCGATACAAGTTCACTGCTATTTTAAGCCGTACGTCTACCCTTTTCATAGTTCTGCCTAACTGTGCCTCCATTAGTCGAAGAAACCTTGAACTTTTAATTTAAACGCGAAAGAAAAATTAAATATATTTTAATTCTAAAGTTGTTAATATTACAACTGATAATTGCAGTATCAATATTAGAATCGCATGTTGACAATATCAGAACTGAATAATTTGCGATTTTCAATTCGATAACACTCGATATATTGTGGTCAAAACATATCTAGATTTCTAGTTAAGTGGCATTTTTAAAGACTACATTTTTCCCAAAGTGTTTCTACAAAATTTGATTAAAAGATAACACCAGATATTTGAGATAAAAATGATAATTTAATTCTTAATTTAAAAATATGTTGTTAAAAATGAATCTTTAATAGTTAATCAAACAGTTAAAACTCATAAGTTACTATAAACAAAGAACTGCTGTCAAGAATTTGAAACTCCGTATAAGAGATGTGAAAATAAAAATTGTATCTGATGACACAGATCAGTCTTTCACATGTAATCACTTGAGTAATTCTACTTGAACTTCTTCATTCAATATCGTACCGAACGTTAGCGAATATTTATAGAGACAATAAACCTTTCCACGCTGAAAGAAACATCGCCGATAAAAAAGGGAAAATAAGATCGTTATTAAACATTGACTTTTTATTGATGCCGCACTGAAATGATCGTAGAAATATATCTTTCTGTATTTTATAATTTTTGCCTTTAACAATGTTACACGATTGATTATTCTGTCAACTGCTGGATGGACCTTCACCTACTAGGTGTGGCTGCAACTTTAAGGTTATCTTATCAGGAAGCAAATTTAAAATGGCCATTATTAGTCTGCACGCGATGACTCCTTAATCGTTACTATATTTATCGTTCCTGAATCCTAATAAATCATTCGTATATTTTGCCGATTACCGCTAACGATGAACGCGATTTTTTTCAATGCGAATACTTTGTTATTCTACGTAGGACTCTTACATAGGACTCCCTCTGTTGCAAGGGACGCGCATATAAACAATAGAAACGCGTAACGGTTAAATGCGTTTCCGCGCAAAATTCAAAAACCGTAGGCAGCGAAAAAGATTAGTTACTCTTTAAAATTTTTTACGACTACGATTTTAAAGTAAACTGTCTTGTAAATCGAGTGTGTATTGAGAAGTTAGAATTGAGAGGTAAAAAAGTGCAATATTTGAACTGAAATATTCATACTTCATGGTTATTTTATGTAAGTACACATTTCTTGCGAAATATTTCCTTTTCTACGTTTTTTACATTTTCGAATATTTTACATACACGATATAATTTATACATCTAACAAAATTTTAAAAATTATGAATTTCAGAAATTTTAAATTTCTAAATCTTCTAATTTCTATATCTCTAAATTTGCAAATTAAATAATCTAAAAATTTTTGAACTAGTAAATTGTAATTCACGTAAAAGTCACAATCAACCAAAAAAAAGGTACAATTTTCTTAAGTGGTTCTAATAAAAGAGTATCTCTATAAAGTTGTTTAGTTTCTCAGATAATTCATTATCAGGAATATCTTCTGAGTACAAACATGTTCATTCAATTTTGTCCCCGATAGTACGAGTTACGTCACGCGTGACTCAACATCCATAAGGCAAAAGGGTTGTTTTCCACTGATAGAATTTATCGATAATATACCGACAACGTTCCGGGCTACACTGATTTGTTTTTGTTTTTCTTCCAGAATCGCGCTGCATATTTCAGTTGGCAGCGAGACCGAGAGCACGCGCTTACGCTTTCAATAATTTACCTTTCGTTATTATAATATTTTGTATAAATATATTCTTTACATAGTACATAACGGTGAAACGCTTCTTCTTAATTGGGAAAATAGCACAAACATGTTGGTAAAAGATTTTTTTAATATCTTGCTCATAAAAGAAAATAAAATAATGAAAAAGTTTATAATTCTTGCATTAGAATTGTGTCACCGATATGTTACTGCTTGTTGACGTTCGATTTAACCGTTTTCTTCGGACATTCTTCTATCTTCGGCAAACTTCAATCAATGTAGAATAGCCTTAATCGTGTAATCACGATATAAGTGGAAGTTCTGAAAGATTCGCTTATTTCGAAACTTTAACCTATCAATTTTTCCAATCGCATTTAGACATTTCAATCATAGCTACGATTTCGGCTGTCAGATGAATCACGTGATTATCCGAGTAGCACCGAAGTAAAACGAAGTTATCCGATGTGTCATTACTCGTCTGTTTACCGCCAATATGACAATAGTAAAAGCTCGTAATAAGTGAAGCGCTTGAAATTGCAAATTAATGTTTCGAATTACGTCGTGTTTGGTCTCATTTTAATCAGGAAAATGTCAGAAATACAGTGGTAAAAATTTTATAATAAAAAAGTCAAAAATAAATAGGATTTACCTTGCATTAAGATTGTTCCCCGATATGTTTGTTTATTTTTTATTCTTCCGACGCGACGTTTTTACCACTGTCTTTCGCTACGTTCGGTAAACTTCAATGAACGTAAGAAGTACACGATATAAACGAAAAGTCAGTCCCGAGAGATTCGTATTCATATATATTTTACTATAAACCTCAAGATCCACGAAGGTAATAAAACCTGTGACGTAAGATGGTCGATAAAAAGTATGTAGTCTATGTAGTTTATCGGGACAAAGATGTCGGGTCGCTGCTCTGTTTTTTGGCAAATTCACAAAAATATCTGCGAGTGTGATTGTGTGTTTGTAACGCACAGGACGAATCAGGAGCGCCTAAGGAGGGTGATCGAAGGGGGTCACCATGACGACCGCCTG